AGAAGATGAGGGGGCTGTCAGCGTTCAAGTAAAGGTACATATCCTAAGGCGTATAATATGTAGTAAGGTGCTAACCGTCTTATAGATGAACACGGCGAATGCTAAGAGCTTCCTAAACGAGGTCGGAAAGATACAGCGTGAACTTCAATCAGTCTAGGCAGCTGATGGGACTAATGCTGCTCCGACTTCAGTTGCCGACAAATCTACTTCTAAGAACGATGAAGCAAAAGGTCTCGATACTGATGCTGAGGAACACTTGAGTGACGGAAAGAAGAATAATGAAGTAATCGATGAGGTGGCTCCCGTACCAGAGCAGGAGCTACCACCATATGCTGAATCTGATGGGGATTCTAATGATCATTTACTCCAGTCAGCCCCAAAGGAATCGAGCGGGGAAGGATCCGATAAGGAGGCCTCTAGCAGCTTGAGCCTAGAGAGCCGGTCATCGTCTGGGGATTCAATTAAGCGTAAGGTCGCAGAATTGGATGGCCCTGTGACGCGATCCAGGAAGAAGAGACTCGATGCGTCCTCGTTTTTCGAGAAGTGGTCCTAGATGTGCGATGCATACCACGAAGCGTTTAGAGATGGTAAGGGAGTTTTGCATGAAGCATTTTCAGGAGAGGCATAGGTACTGGTACTCTGGAAGAATTGCACGCTTATGAGGCATAGATGAACGACGGTGGCATGGATATTTGTCGGCGGCAATTCTGTGATAATAGAGCTCATACCCATAACTGCCGGATTACCATTCCGTTACGCGAAACGCCCAGTGCAATAATCGTTTACTGTATTGCATCGGATTAATCTTTAGTTAATTTTCATGAATAGAAACTTTTATCGAGTGCTTCCTATTCTTATAGGCGTAGGGGAGGATCGCGGAGTGATATAGTACCTCCTGGACTAGCTGTCTACCTATCATACTTCTCTTTGATGGCTCTTTACATATAAGGACGTTCTAGACAGAACTCGAACGCTCACTCTTTATTGTTTGTATACATAGACGTAACCCCTTAAAGACTCCTTTACCCAAGATAGTTTGGGGTGGTTAGGTATTTAAGTACCTGATATATTACATAAGATCTACATCATTATAGGTACGTTGGAAGACATTTCCATTGATGGAGCCACCGGTCACGTGCTTCCGCCCGCATTTCGCGCCACAAGAAGTGCGACTGGATCGACTCGCGACTCGGGACTCGGGACTCGCCAGTCTACCTACAACATCAACGCGAAGCACGTATTTTCGGACTATTGGGTTTCTGACTAAGCATATTCGTCCTTATGCATCTTGATTACGGATGAGATGTCTGCTCTCAAGGCAGCTACAGTTTCGAATAGAATCATTAAGCGGAAGAGGAAGAGGCAACCCTCCGAAGAAGACAAAGGAGGTGATTTCTTGAAGGAAGAGGAAGAGGAAGAGGAAGAGACTCTTGAGGAGCTAAACGCTGAAAAATCGAGAAAGACTGTAACATCTCAACGCAAAAAGGCAAATGCAGATGTTGAGTGCCAAATTGAATGGCCGCAGGTATTTAAGGATCTGGACAAGACTCATAGGGCTTTGAACCTGGTCTTCACTTTCTGTTCTACACGCAAGCATATTGCAACGACTTTTGATACCATTCGGTCCTCAGTGGAGTCAAATACGAAGCGAAAGTTGACAGTCGAGGATGTCGCGGCTATCGTGGCACTGCGGCCGGAAGGCATCAACTTTACTTACGTTGATGAGGTAATGTTGCATACCGACATCAAAGGGGCTGAAAGAGACTCTACGTTTAAGACTGGTAAATCAAGGCATATTACAGTTCAAGGTCCCGCCCCGGATGCTTCCGTTGGCGGATTTACCGGCTTAGACGAACTTGGTAGTCGGCATCCCGACGATTTGCCATCAAGTGGTCAAGAGGTTCTTTACTTTGAGTTTATCGACGGGGACCTCAAAAGACAAGTTCAGAGCAAAAAGACAGGAGAGCCCACAAATCCGAATAGGAAGCTTCGGGACGAGGACTTGAAAATGCCAGTCTACAGCCAGAAACAACTGACAACCCTGATTGAGAAGCGTAACCAAAAATTCACGAATGCGGTGAGTTCCTTTATAAACCGCTGCGTAGAAGAAAATCTGGATCCAGAGGTAATGATTCGTCAAGAAGCAGAAGCATATGTCCCAATCCCTAGTCTGTCGGAAATCACTACCCCTCAGCCAGAGCCCAGCACCATACCCGCGTCGATACCTAAGGAGAGGAAGAGTATCCCTGAAATCATACAAGAAATCAAAGACAGTCCATGGTATACCGGTCAAATTGTGCCGGATGGACACCGAGTGTTTGACGCTCAGGATGCCGTTTTCGGGGAACTTGACTTTTTGCTAAGTCAGGATATGGTGAATGCCCTATACAACGCGAAAGGAATCACTCAATTCTATGCTCACCAGACCGAAGCGATCAATAATCTACACGCGGGCCATCATGTTGTCGTCTCAACCTCGACGAGCTCTGGGAAGTCCCTCATTTACCAACTTCCCGTCTTACACGCCCTGGAACAGGATCCCAACACTCGAGCTATATACATCTTCCCAACGAAGGCATTAGCTCAGGACCAAAAGAAAAGCTTAAAGGAGATGCTCGCTTATTTTACGGGACTGGGGAATGTCCTTGTTGAGACGTTTGACGGAGATACTCCGATGCACGATAGGAATCAGATTCGCGATGAGGCCCGTATCATCTTTACTAACCCAGATATGCTTCATCTTACAATTCTCCCTCAAGAAGATAGGTGGCGAACTTTTCTGAAGTACTTACGCTATGTTGTCGGCACGTAAACTCCCAGTCAGATAAATGTATTGCGCGACTAATTCTTAGATAGTTGACGAATTACACTACTACAACGGCTTGATGGGCTCTCATGTTGCATTCATCATGAGACGGCTTCGACGCATATGTGCCGCCGTCGGCAACCGAAAGGTTAAGTTCATATCGTGTTCTGCCACCGTGGCAAATCCACGAGAGCATTTTAAAGCTATCTTTGGAATTGATGATGTACATTTAGTTGATTTCGACGGGTCGCCATCTGGGCGGAAGGAGTTCCTCTGCTGGAACACGCCTTATAAGGATCCTGGTGACCCAACTAGCGGGCGCGGAAATGCCATAGCGGAATGCGCGCGCTTATTCTGTCAGCTTATCCTACGTGGCGTTCGTGTAATAGCGTTCTGTCGTGTGAGAAAGCAGTGCGAAGAGCTAGTGAATGCTGCTAGATACGAATTAGAATCATTAGGTCGTCCAGAATGCATGGCTCGTGTTATGGGCTATCGAGGTGGATATACGGCACAAGATCGTCGACAGATCGAGAGCGAAATGTTCGAGGGCAAGCTCATTGGCATTATTGCGACCACTGCTTTGGAACTGGGTGTCGATATTGGTACCTTGGACTGTGTCATTACACTGGGATTCCCATACACCATTTCAAACCTGAGGCAGCAGAGTGGGAGAGCTGGTAGGAGAAACAAAGATTCTCTCTCCGTGCTGGTGGGAGATTGCTTCCCAACCGACCAGCACTACATGCAGAACCCCAATGAACTTTTCACGAAGCCCAACTGCGAACTTCAGGTTGATTTGAGCAACATGCTTGTCTTGGAGGGTCATTTACAGTGCGCAGCATATGAGATGCCGATCAAACCCGTCGAGGATGCTATCTATTTTACGAAAGACTTAGCGAAGATCGCAGAAGAGCGTCTTATCAAAGACGAGCTCGGGTACTACCATTGTCATGATAGATTTAGACCAATGCCATCAAGGTTTGTTGCAATTAGAGATACCGAGGACGATCACTTCGCAATAGTTGATATATCACACGGGAGAAACGTGGTACTCGAGGAATTAGAAGCATCGAGGGCCTTCTTTACTATATACGATGGCGCGATCTTTTTACATCAGGGTAACTCGTACCTGGTGCGCGACTTCCAACCAGACAGGAAGATTGCCAGGGTAGAAAAGGTCAAGGTGGAATGGACCACAGAACAGCGAGACTTTACCGATGTAGACCCCGTGGAAACGGAAGCCATGCGTAAAATCCCGGGGTCTCTTTCGCGCGCCTTTCACGGCTCAATACGCATTACCCAGAACGTCTTTGGTTACTTCAAAGTAGATAGGAAGCGTCGCATTCTCGACGCTGTGCAAGTCGATAACCCTCCCATCATCCGGCATAGCAAAGGAATGTGGCTCGACGTTCCGAAGCGCGCCCTCGAGATCCTCGTCGACCGGCGGCTCCACGTGGCGGGCGCTATTCATGCCGCCGAGCATGCTATCATTAGTCTAATGCCTAACTTCGTCATAAGCATTCCGGGCGACGTCCAGACGGAATGCAAATCAGGACTAAAGGAGTTTGCACGGAAGGAAACTTCGCGGAAGAGGCCTGCTCGGCTAACATTCTACGACGCGAAGGGCGGCGCCAACGGAGCTGGCATCAGCACCAAGGCGTTCGAGTTCATCGACATGCTTCTCGTACAGGCCCTAGAACGGGTCCAGCACTGCCATTGTCAGACGGGGTGTCCTGAGTGCGTGTGCTCGGAGTTCTGCAAGGAGGCTAACGAGGTTATGAGTAAGGCTGGTAGCACGGTTATAATTAAGGCGTTATTAAATATGGAAATTGACGTCGAGGCCCTACCTATGGGACCCGAGGATATGAGCCCGGTTGGCATCGAGACGGTGGTGTTGGCTAAGCCGGTGCCGTCGAGGGGTCAGAGGTTTGATTATGAGGAAATTAAGGTAGAGGAGGATGATCAGGATGTTATTATTGTTGACTAGGTCGAGGGGGCATGTTTTACCTTTATTAGTTATAACATAGTGTGAAATCCAACTCACTTTTTCTTCCGGACAATAACTATATCTATCAATCTTATTGATGAGTCAGTTTATCACAGAAGGAATCGTCCTCATCGAGAATGTTTTGAGTCCTTATCACTTTCACCGTAGGAAAGTTTACACTATTTGGGAGCAGAAGGAATTAACCAAGACGGGATATAATATATTATGGCGGGAAGATATTCGTATGACTAGAATGAGTATTTAAATCTGCACCCTTGATTTAATATCGCGCGTAAATAGGTGCCACACCCACGAGGTGTTCGCGCATGGAATCCTTAAGCACCAGGAATCAAGCCCACCAATTCGGTACACGTTCTACTGTAAATAAGAGGCCACCCCTGAATACACCACTAAGCCACTTATACCTTGACAAGATTCTAGCTCTTTTGTCGTTTCTTTCACCCATTTCTTAGTGCTCCTTATGATATACCTAAGGGTTTTACCAATTTTTCCTGCCTCATATCACAAATACACCGCCTGATTTGATTAGAGGGCTCGCCTCCCAACGTCCCAACTCGCATTTCCGCATTCCTTTGGACGTTGCAAACCTCCAGACTGCCACGTCTACCAACTTCAACCCACAACAGACCGAGCCCGGAAATACGAGAGTCAAAATGAAGCCCTTGTGCTTTAATTTTGTTTCGTCGCTCTCGCTGCGCCTTGCACCGAGTCGCACGAGGAGGACTGCCGTGACAGCGTCAAGGCTGCCGCCGTCCCGTCCTTTTGTCAGCTCCAAAGCGGAATTGCTAAACCGCCTCTTCTGGTATCACTTCTCTACTTCAATGTTCAGCCTCCTCTCCTAGTATCACAGTATTACGTCCAATCGGTGAAAACGGGTGTTGGGGTTGACCATTGGTTTTCCATTGCTGAAGGCCAGCTATAATTCGCTTCAGCCTATCCTCTCGAGCCCAAAGATGGATGCGACCAAGTGTTGATTGGAAATATGTAAAAGCAGAGATAACTTGCAAGTCATAGCTCTCAACAAATGTTACATTGTATTGAGGACGCCGAACTTTATCAATATCCATTGGATCTTCTGAAAGGTTGGTATTCGAAGACTCTGATATTTCCTCTTTCCACATAATGAGGATGCTTACAAACCTTGGCGTTATAGCGACGAGATATACTGCATCTTGGTCATCAAGTACTGGCCACGTCATATCGAGCATGACACGGCCATTGGCAATGCACTCATTTTCCACTGCAAACATATTGGTTCCTGTTTGTACGACCAAGTATGGGAAATAAACGTTGTGTTCGGGGTCAGATGTGCTTTTAAACTTCTTATAGCTATAGTCGGGTACGTCCCCGCGGAATGGGGGTATGTCATCTATAGCGTCAACATTATAGCCGTACAAGATATCGGGTACACGAGGGTGCAACGTATACTTGCCCGCTTCTGGTGGCAAAAGGAGATTGCGAAATCGTTGTTTGGAATAGTAGGTTAATTTCCGGGTGTTGTCGATCCAGTTCATAGTTTTGAGATTCATAACTTGTACTAACGAGTCGAATATTATGTCTGAAGGTGGCATGTTGTTTAAAGTCTCTCGATATTCCCGATATCTCGTCATTATATCTGCAGGGACATGCAGCAGCTCCGTCGAGTTGAATATATGTCTGACATATTGTGCTTCAATCTTATCTGGAACTATCTGGTCTATCAAGTATCTGATGTTGTTGTAAGGGAGGACAGTGATTCGGTAATCAGGGCTCTGCGAATATGTTGCGTTGGATTTACTGGATGATCCGGATCTACTGGATCTATTGGATATAGTACTGCTAACATCTATGGCAAAATCGTCTGGGAAATCGCTAATGTGTTCCGATTCTAGCGCCTCTGATTCAGTGCGCTTAAGCCACATGAATGTTGAAGAGAGATCTTGTTGGGGGTGATCTTGTGAGAGCCGTTCGCTACCAGATGACCTGTCCGGTAATTTTAGATCCGTCGTAGCCATCGATGAAAGCGCGTGGCTATAACATAAATGAGCATAAACCTGTACGATGCTACAAGTCAAATATAAGGGCTTGGGCCAATATAATCGTCGTATCTTTTTTGAAACTCAAGGGTTTCGACCGGCGTAGATGCGTGAAGTTGTTATGATTAGGTACCACCTAATGTAAACAAACGCTGGCGAGAAGGGGTTTATCCTTGCTTTAGCCATTCCAGCCATTGAAAACGCGTGACGTTTAAGCCACTGCACTGACACCTTCAACTGTCAGTTCTCAGTTCTGCAACAAAAAATAAAAGAGAAGAGCCTTTCTGATTGGTTGTAGAGCCTGCGCCTCCTTCCCCCCCTTTCCCCCCCTTTCCCCCCAGCTTGTCTCTGGAAACAGTTTTTCCTTAGAAAGTTACTATACGTCTAGACTCCTAGGTTTCTTACTCAATAGTTAGAGCAATTGCTAACTACCTAGTTATCGTAGTAGCAGAGAGGTTGCCAGGCTGCCGTGCCCAACGCGTGGACCTAGGCCGCGCGGAAGGCGAACTGTTCATGTTCCCTGTAAACCCGACTCCGCTCGGCCAGTGGCCCGGCATCACCGGCGCCCCGGTGGACCACCGCGTCACGTTCAACAAGCATGGCATGTTTGCCGGTGTGGCGGTGCTGTTTACCGGAAAGCTTGAGGGCACGAGACTTGCGTGGTGCTATTCGATGCTTGATTACGGCGTGAGAGACGTGGGCGCGACGGCGGAGGGAAATCCGGATGTGGACGAGGCGTCGCAAGATGTGTTTGATGGGCATCATTTGTTTGTGCCCCCCAACTAATTAAGCTTGGGTGATTCAGCTCCCTCTGGCGCTGTGCTATACTGTTATATAGGGGTTGTCGTTCGGAAATAAAAATATATATGGGTGTCCATTATGCACCTCCTACCTATCCGCGCTGGCTGTATCCTCCTGCTTTCCCACGGCGTTAGCAATCTAGTGGTAATCATCGAAGGTAAAAACATAAATAGACACGACAATTACCTCCCTAGGTACCTTTCGTATTCATTTCATTTCGTTAAGTGCCTGCATAAATAGGGACCCTTCGATCTTCGCTATGCTAACTCCGCCTCGATAAGGCTTTCAGATCCCATCTCGTAGCTATATATCTGCACAACTTTAAAGCCAGCCCGCTTTAGAATATCCACCCAGCGTGCTTCCGTACGTTCCCCCATGGTGCCAAGCACGAATACTAGCTGATCCATGGAGGTGACGGGCCATGTCGGGTTGCGATCAGGGACAATAATCTCATTCACAAGCAATTTCGAATAACCCAATTTCATCGCAGGTCGTAGCTGCTCAAGAATGAGAACGCAGTCGTCGTCGCCCCAATCATGAAGCACAGAGTGTAGGTAGTACGCTCGGGCTTCTTTTACAGGCTGGGGGGTGAAGAAGTCATGAGCGGTGGCTTCAAACACCCCTCCGCTAGAAACGGCCGAGATGACTTCGGGACGGTCCTTCAGGATGAGTTTACCAGGAAGTGAGGGGTGCTTTTCTTTCAGCTCCCGTAGGTCGTGTCCTAGGCCACCGCCAACGTCAACGAGGAGCACGTCGTTGCCACCAGTATTAGCATCGAAGCCTTCAACAAGACGCTCCTCGATCGGGTAAAAGCCTTGGTCAATCCATGAAAGTTTCCTGGCGCGGTATGCCGACATGTAGTTATTAAATTTCTCCAAGTATGGTGGGTTCTGGTCCAGCCATGCGAAAAATGGAAGCTCTGTTTTATGAGCGGCCTGGAATGGCCCGTCTGTTAGCTTCGTTGGAAGCGCATACTTGATGCTCTTCAAGTACTCTGGTAGGCCACGGAACGATGGGCCGGCTACGTCGTATCTGTAAATATTATAAGTACCCGTAAGTATCTAATCAGAGGTGAAGGCCGAATTTCGAGCTGATGGGGGACTTTTACTACGTACGTGTAAATAATACCGTCTTGGTACTTCGGCTCCGTCAGAGCGTTGCTCAGGGGCGTCCCGACATACTTATCAGCACCCGTCTCGGCAACGACATTCATAGCAGCAAGATGCTTCAAGGTTCTTGCTTTCATGGACATCAATAATTTATATGGCGCGAAAGAAGTACCTGGGTAGTTATTCTAGATAACGTACCAATCAGAGTCTCATCGGCACCCGCCTTCGCGGCCAAGTCTTTCCCACTGATTCCTGACTCGCCACCGTCTTTCAAATATTCGAATAGCCCCAAGTCGACTGCGATGCGACAGTGTGCGGCTCTTGCGGGCTATGATATTCATGCCAGTCAATACGGACCCTTAGGGAGTGAGTCTCTTGAATAAGTACCTCAGCCCAGCCCATTCGCTGGATAGCTTCGCTTGGAAGCTCCAAGCTTGAAATCAACGAATGGGCAAGATTTAGGAGTTGCTCCCGGCCCCCGGCTTGTTCTCGGAGTACGCGGAGCCGGTTGCTTGAAGTTGGGCGAGAATGGCTTCTGGTGTGTGCAACATCTTGGGCTCTAGATTGCTTGTATTTTTCAAATGGATATTGTCATTTGAGTATAAAACTATGGTAGTTCGGCAGTCATAGAGTGGTGGGGACAGGTGGATAATGAGAGAAGATGAGATCTATCTGGGTAAGGTCATAGAAGTGGTGATCTACGTGATGACAAGGATTCGATATCCCTTGGTAGCTAGGGCTGTACCACATATAGGGGAATTTTGCCTCATTGGTTGAGCGCTCGTTAAGGACGTAAGGGATGATAAAAATAAGTAAATTTCAGCAAGGGATAGAGTTAAGCTATATGGCACACCGAATATAACTAGGTATAAGCAAAGTTAATATACCCTATCAGAGTACCTAAGGTACCGTATACTCTAACTAGTCTTAGTTTACTTGATAATATGAATCTGATATTCTATCCGACCGAATTAATGTAAATTAGACCTGTAACATCGCATAAGAAGAGGTCTCAAAGCGGCAGACGCTAGTTCTTACCCTCTTTATTTGTTCGTCACTGTGCTCCTGGCCCGTTTTGGAATGTCTTGGCCCATTTAGTTGAGCTACAAGTACAAGAAGATCTTCTAAATCAAAATGGACATCGAAGCCATCTTGGAAGCTTCCCCAGTCAGTTCCGAGCCGGTGGAAGAAACCAAAGTCTTCACATTCTTCACGATGGATCAACCTTCCCCCTTCCATGGGCACTGCCTGCCCGCAGATATCGTAGTGATGCGGACTAACGCTATCTCGCTGTCGCACAACCAAGATACAGCCTGGTCCTTGATTGTCCGTACGGCGAGACCTGCAATATCTAAATATTATCCAGTCACCACATCGAGTTCCTGCTGGCAACATAAAGCTTACAGTTTCAGTATTGGTTGACTTTCGAAGCTCTCCAGATGGACTTCCCACGAACAATGGCATCTCTACTAACGAACCGTTTCCCTTGATAAACTCCTGTCGACCATTTTCGAATGGAAATATGAACCCCAGTATGCCCCCCATCGACACGATTTGTAGCCCTAGCCAGTGCTCAAAGGTACACAATGGTTTGCACACCGTGTCAAATGCCTTCGAGCTGACACCCCGATTTTCTCCTGTAGTTTCACGCAAAGATGCCAGTGGAGAGCAGTTTTCCGCATCGTTCAATCGCTGCACAGTTCTTCGTGACTCTAAGACCTTTCTCATGTAAAAGCAAGCTTCAATATTTAAACATTGAAAAATCCGGCCAGTTAATGGCCAGATAGTAGTATCCCAATGGAACCCTTCCCTAGGATCTTGGACTACGGCCCTCAACGCATCTACGGCTACCTCAAAAAGCGACTTTTTATAATCGATACTCAACGGGCTGTCTTCATTCCAACCTATCACCGTGAGGATTCCATAGATTCTGTCCCTTGAATCCTGGCAGCATAGAAACATGGACTGTCCAAGGGCGGTGTATAGGCCTAGAGGCGCTACATACCCTGTGCTCCCATACTTCGCGAAGTGAACCCAGCAGATGCTTTCATCGACGGTTGGGGAGATAGATTTCTCTCGCAGCATGTTGTTTCTATATCTCGGAGATTGGCGCGTTAAACTGGGGCGAAGTACGTGGAGATAGTCCATAGGGACGGAGTCTTCGCCGCAGCAGACATGGACTTTACGAGCCGCGAACATCTCCTGGAGAATCCAAAGGCGAGTGAAGTACGGCCGGCGTATAAGTGCATCTTTGGCCCTCTCTGCCCGCTCGAGAACCTGCATATACGCTGAAAAAGCAGACCTGGTACTGCCCAACCCCGCCAACCATAGTTGTCCCAGCTTAGAAGGTTTCCAGTTAGCGGTAGAGACGGATTTGAAATAGTAATAGTTTCTTCGCACGAAATGTAGGAGGAATCTGCTATCGTCTGCATGCGGTCCGATGCAGGATAACACGCATGAAGCCAGGCGATAGATCTTTCCCATCATTTGTACCTGGTGGCTCTTCTCCTCGTTGTCTACCTGATTGATACAGATGGCATCTATCCAGTAATAGCGATGGCGCCACGGTAAGCTCAGGGTTCGCAAGTGTTCTTCATGCCATCGGGCCTGGCGTAAAACATACTCGCAATTCTTTCTGACTTTGAGCGGTTGGTTGTTGATAGAGATGTGTGTGGTTTGCGAGGGATCTCCCCACGTGTATGAGATGGCGTGGTATGGAGGTAGTTTTCTCCGTGACCAAGTTGATAGACTACAATGAACGAGTTCGTCATATTTGGAATGGTGTATTTGTAAGAGGCGAATTTGGTTTTGTGCATCAGCCATAGGGGTGTACGTGAAGTAGCGCTCTTCTGCGTTATTGTCGCCAACCTGAGGATCCTCCATCATTTAATGAAGTTGCGACGCTTAGTTCTGGAATCTGGAAGTGAAAGTAACTGTTGACAATTGGAGATTTAAGGGGTTCTGTCTTGCCCTAGGCGATTATTGTATCCAGAGCCTTAGACTCAGCAGAATGCTTCAGTTCCTAAATTAACCCAATTATTGGTTCGAGCATTTTATGGAAGTCTCTTAGTGACCTGATTATTTAAATATATAAAAAACATAGAAGGAAGAAAGAAGATGATAATATACTCGGCCAAGGCACCCGCCCGCAGCCTATGCCTGCAGCCCTATTGGGCGTTGTAAAGCCCGTAGCCTTTAGCAGCTTACCCCGCCAGGTGGTAATTATCCCGAAGGCATCGTCTATCAAAACTATATTCATTACAATAATTTCCTCCGTCGTGTTTTGTTTTCAGTTGTAGTTAACTGCAGGTGGGTATAAGTAGAATGAGAGATAACCAAAATGCGAGATTCACCAGGTAGAGGTATCATCTCGCACCCCGAACTACGGCCCACTAGAAGATTTTACACTGCCACGGTGATGAATGCGATTCTCAGCTAGATTATTATGCATTATCTTGGACTTGGCCGATAAAGAAGCGCCGGTTTTCTTTTATAGGGGTCGATAGCTACGTCAAAGCATAGTACATTGTTAATGTTTACCCCTATTCAAGATGAAGCAACACAGATGTCGTTAGGAATCTCAGCTACTGATAACTCTTTGAGAGCAACATAATATTGCTTAGGTAGTTATATATTAATTTATGATATAGGAGACCGTATAATGCGAGGACATATGTTTAAACTCTATACTTGTTATCAGTTTAGTGCAATTGAACATATAGCCCCTTTTCAGGAAATCGTCGTCGTATATACATTAGTATCCCTTAGGTACCTAACCCAGATAGTTATCAAAAAACGAGCCAAGCTGACCACAACAAAGGTTTATTCAAACCAACACGCAGCAGGATCATGTCTGCTGACTGGGCTAACTTCCTAGGTTAGGTACCTTCATCTAATGTCACGAGATATTATTTTCATATCCTTCAAAGCTGGAAATAATGTTATTAAATCATTATGAGTAACCTAGGTATGTACTGGCACGCTATCTTTAAAGTCGTTACTATTCGTGCATATCCCAACCAAGTCGTGTGACTCTATCCCGTTTTAAAAAGAAGCCCCAGTCTATCCTTTTCTAGCCGTATCCCGACTGTCTAAGAGTAAGCTCTATGTCTAATGCTCTAATTCGGCCTTCCGTTCTCGTTAGTGGTAGACATGACCACAGTCCTCGGCGACTGGCCCCACGGACCAGTTAGGGTGCAAGTTAAGGGGTTGAATTTGCCCATCTGGAGACAGAACATGTATGCATTCGGGTCGCTTGAGTTCCCGGGGTTGGACGTGAGGATGTGTGTGGCATACAGACCGGCGCTATAGATTACCCATTAGCAAAAATGATCATGTTTAGAAAAGGAAGGTTTACTCACCCGTTAGAAGCGAGCTCCTCAAATAACTCGACGCGGAAGTTTGTGGTGGCGGTCCACCCGTCGGCTGGCAGACGGAATTGCAACGCCGGATTGGCGCACGCAGTCCACTCCGTTGGGCCCGGGTTGGTGCCGGCCGGCCAATCAACTCTACAGGTGGTGTTGAGGGTGGCGTCGCTAGTTGATGAGGCGTCCGGGTAAGTTACGGCGACATTGACGAATGAATTAACGGAGTCGACTCCGTAGACTCCGGGATACGGAAAGGTAGCGCCAAGACTAGTGATTGTGAATTCGGGAGTATCTCGGGGCTCAAGGGGGAGAGCTAGAGCGGGAGAGAGAAGAGAGAGGACCGAGGTCAAGATGGTTTGTTTATACATTATGGAGGAATAGTATAGAAATGATCGCTAAAGTAGAATGGTTGGTTGGTATAAGTGAAGTAATATTTTCAGTCTTGCTTGACAACTTTGAACTGATATCAATAGGACTGGAGGAAGAGGAATGGAAATATTGTTTATTATTACGATGATGCATTATACTTATATTCGAGCGAAAAATATAAAGTCCTACGAAAATGATGACGATAATTCAGTATATCAGCTCATGATCTCATTGCGGACTCGCTGGATCCTCTCTACGATTGGTATCTATACGCGAGCCCGTGTTCGCTGACTGCGCCCTGAAAGGAAACCCCCGAAAGAAAGAAGACCGTATCTACGGATTATCCAAATACGAGAAATCTCGTAACGGTGCTGACAGATATTATTCCCCATGGCATTGTTACATGAGAGCGCCACATGGCTGCTGAGGTGAGGTGGCGAAGCCCGGTTCCATTTTTGAAAGCGACCGTGGAAGATCGGATCACCTTTTAATTGGCTTCATTTTTCCAATGAGCAAATCCGGACAAGGCGGTCCAGCTAAGCTGAGCTGTCAGGCTGCCAGGCGAGTTCTAAAAGCGTCAACGCTTAACCGTCATTGCCTGTTAGCTCCAGTGGATTAGACCAGTCAAACACACGAATAATCAATCAAGTCGATGGCATGATTTCATTCTCAATATTAGCGAATAATTTTCAGCTCAGCTACATTATGACATCAAGAGACCGCGGTCATTCGATAGAATGTATAGCTTCGAAAGCCCATGTACCTAACAATGTAAATGGAAGGTCATAGTTCCTTATAGCAGTCTCCATTCACTTCGTCAACAATGGCGCCGCCACATACAAATTCATAAATCCCTTTTTCAATCTCTCCGGAATCCCCGCAATACTCTTCATCTCGTCGGTAATGTTCCACTTCAAACTATCCGCCAAGGCCCCTACGAATCCCTTTTGCCCGTCGTCGTCTGAGCCGAGTGCTGGATTGGACCATGCCTCGTGCACTGCAGTATACTGATCCTCCACTTGCTCACCGGTAGACGGCTTATCGGGTGCCCAGGCTTCATCAGCGTCGACGATTTTGGGGAATGGGTTCTCTGAGAAGAGACTCTGCAGATCTGCATCGGCGACTTGGTAAGCAGGGAAAGGGTCGGGGGCCATGGTGGGCTTGGGAGCGGTAATCAGGACCCCGGACATAAGGGTGACAGCCCCTTTATCATTGTTGAGGAGGTCACGAATGTTGTTACCGCTTATGCGAGGATCGGTAGATGGGTCGTCTACCATGTGTTAGCTTTACATAACGGCTATCAGTTCGCGCGTAGGCGATCGCGACTTACACTTAGCCCACAGACCATGTGGTAGGCGGTTGAGATACTTATCGTATTGCCATCCATCATCTGGTTCCGTCTCTCCTTCCTGTTGGACTACTACCGTAACAGTCGATGTTAGAGTTTGCGTGAGCTTCATCGGCTTACCATAGATATCGTCGTACGTCAGGATAGCACCCCCGTTGGGATCGTTCTTGACGGCATTGACTGGCATTTTGCATTCTACAACGAAGGAAAAGGAGCCGGCGCGCACAACCCACGCAGTCGTCTGGTCGCGCTCGGGATTGTCCTCTGGGTTCAAGAGCCCAGATTTGGCCAAGAAGTTGTGGCCCTCGTTCTCCTTTTCTTCTTGGACCCTCGCATCGTCTCCAGCTCCTATAGCGAGTTTGCCACTAGTAGCCGCGGATTGTGCCGGGCTTGTACCTGTCTGCAGCACCAGAAGATAGAAGTCGTGGAGGCTGACAGCCTCGTTTTGGATTTGGTTATTGCCAAAGTTAATGTCGAACCCGACGATCCAGAAGTCGACGTGGACGCGACCAGCGATCGGTGGGCCCCAGAGGTACAACTGGGCGCCAATTTCGACCGAGATGCGGATGTGGATAAACCAAACGTCGATGCTGAACCCGACCCCGACGGAGACACCGGCCTGCATGTTGAAGTAGAAGGGCTTGTAATTAATGAGGAAGTCGGCGAAAGCATCGAACCAGGCCGACAGTGGGCCAGCTTCAAAGGCAGCGTGCAGACGACCTCCAGCCATGCAGGCCTTAGGTGTAATAGCAAAGTAAGCCTGACCCGATACGGTGAGGCCACCGCCGAGATTCCAGCTGATTCCTAGGCGCGGAGGGTTTGGGAAGCCAACAGGCAAGTTGAAAGCTTGATGATAACCGCCGAGGGTGAAGACATACTGGCCAACGACCGACTGGTCAGCGTGCGGGGCGTCGAACCAATAATATAGACCAAAACCACCGGTGAGGTGGCAGTTAGGATCTAGTATATAGGAGCGTGGAGACAGCTGGGCGTCGATCTTGAGGGTACCGTAGTCGAAGTCGGCTACGGCCGATATGCCTAACTCGACGTGGGCTATCTTGAAAGATGAAGCGGGTGTGGGGACGTCGGCCGTGGCTACGGCAAAGATACCAAGCTTCACGGAGTTTCCAAACTGTACGACGACGACAGCATCAATAGCTAGCATCTGAAAAGCGCCGACACCCATGCCGACAGCCAACCAGTACGTCTTGTCTAGTGGTCTGAACCAGCCGCCTGCGCCTGGGTCGACAAGTTTCTTCAGAGCATCCATGGCATTCCCGCTGCCGCTAAGCTGCGAACTGGCGATAAAGGGGAAGTCGTCAACCTCATCAATAGTTGGCAGGCGAACGCTGCTGTTGTAGCCGAAACCACCACAGATGGAATTGATTTCGGCAAACTCGAGCGTCACAAGTGGGCCATTCAGCTTGGCGAAAACGAAGACAGTCTTGAAGCTATTGGAAGTACCCTTTGGCGTTACTATGCCGTAGAAGCCAGCAGCCTCAAATTGGTACAGTTTCCAGCCGACGGTAAGACCTCCGGCGTAGTAGTCAAGGCCTCCTTCGTTGCCATGTCGAATGACACCAGCGATCGACAGGGGCGGCTGCTCAAACGATGCTGCCAACCCCATAATAACGGGCGTGATTTGAGGGGTTCCACTAAGCGTTGTAAAAGCGAAACCAAGGGAGAAGCCGACTAGAGAGAAGCCCAGAGGACCGAGCTGGAAAGTGGCATCAAACATGATGGCCAGCATCTTGTCCTTATACTTCAGGCCGACGTTACTGATTGATAATGGACCAGCAATCTTTTTGTATGGTGCCTGAGCGCTTGGAGAACCGTCATCTACCTCGCCCTCGCCTGCTTTGAACGCTATACTACTAGAAGATGTTTTCATAAATTCGTAGTCGAGCAGACACGTGCGTACGCCTGTGCTACTACGTATAATAACACCGAAGTGGCATCCGGACGCTAACAAAAGATCTGTTTGAGCCCGTAGTTCCGGCTTGATCTTATCATTGACAAGAATTAGATCCTGCCCATTGACCTGAAGGCTGTAGTTGAGCTCGTCCCGATCTAAACGTGTCAGACCCGTTCCCTTGCCAGGCGCCGCGCCTTGTTGCGGCTTATCCTGTACCCAGAGGAAGTACAACTCGTCGAGAGGCTGCGTCAACGTGCCGATGAGAGGTAATTCGAGCTCTGTCTTGGTGAAGCCGTTAATATAAACCTTGAATAGCCTCTTAGATGGTGTCTTAGGGCCCCAGGTCGTATTGTGCATTTGAGCAAAGTCAATATGCACATTTGCGACGTTGAGCTGTGAAAGGAAAAAGAATGACTCCTGATCGATCTCGGTCACATTGTTAGCAGCTGGGGTTTTGTTCTTAACCACATCAAGCCTGAAGACATCTTGGTTATCGCCTACAAGCTGTGTATTGTAGACGAAATCGGGAAGCTCGATGTCGGGCCCTAAGATGCCTACTAGCACGTCTCCGATTTTCGCAGATTTATCTCCTGGGTTAAGCGCAGCCGAGAAGGTGAAGTCATGGTCTTTATGATTGAAGTTAAGCCCAAGGCTTAGGCCAGCAATCAGAAGATCTCCTTCAATAGTAAATTCACTCCCCGTAGACCTTCCGCCGGATGTTTTGGTGTACTTGTACTCAACAGCTAGCGTGTCGATGGCGATTGAATTTATCAGAGGTGTGACGTGGGCTTTGGAATCTTCATCAAAGAACTCAACCAGAGTCGAGGCGTATAGCCCTGTTAGCGATGCCTTAAGGTCCCATTCTTTAGCAGCCGAGTCGTAACTCAAAGACCCCTCAAAGACTGCAGGTAAAGAGTCTTCTGATGCGTCTTGGCTTGGTTCGATGACGGCATCGATGAAAATGCTGAGGGAAAAGGAGCTGCTTTTCCCCCAGGTAAACGAGCCTTCAAGCGTGACCTCGCCCAGGCGTGGCTGAGGTGCCGAATCTGGAGGGGTAGGGCTACTTGTGACAGAGCACCGAATATCGAAGGAATTTTGCGTCAGAGCGATGTAAGCGAGTGATATCTTCGAAGGTAGAGTGTCTGGGATGTTCTCCACTGTCTGACTTGGAATTAGAGATACAATGTCGATTGAATCTGCTGGAGACGACGTCAATGGCTGTAGATTAGACCATTTCTCCACGTGTGGTAATAGATCTGTGTCTATAGATAAGTCGGAATCTTTCAATTCCTAGTTAGATATCCGTTGATTTCTCGTGCAATGCTTCGGTCTACTTACCTTTCCACAGCTTGCCCGCTAGTTGACCGAATCCGCCGGTAATGTTGTCCCAATTGTACGAAATGAGAAATACTGGCTTTGAGCCAGGTTCGCTTGTGCCGAAGTTGGCCGAGACTTCGATATCAAAAGAAAAAGACGACAGCTTCCGGTTATCTGAATCTTCCGTGTCCAGACTGAGCCTCATTCTTCGCAGTATGAAGTTGGAAAATATATTGACATTATTTTCCTTCCTGTTCAGAATGCCATCGATAATCCAGTCTAATGGATCGTCAATTAGGGATCCAAGCCACTTAAGAATCCCCACCAATGGGTCGTTAGACTCAAATTGGAATGTGAGAAACATGTTATATTCGCTAATTTCGATGCCTGCAGTTGTAGAAACCTCCGGGTCATTGGAGCCACTGCCCTGAACAGAGCATCCAATACTAAAGGCGAAAGACCCCCTAAAAATAGGTTCTGGTCCCGTTTCGGTTTCCGCTAGGAGCATGTCCTTGTAGAAAATGAAATCAGCGTTTCTAATGGTGAGTCCTTTAAGAACTCCCTCTAGAACGCCTTGCAATGGGTTGAAATCAGACACCTCAAATTGTAGGCGCATCACGACGCTCTGGTACGAGGCAGGTGAATACCAGAGGGCATTGCGCTTTGGATTTCCTTGCCCAGGGGTTGTAAGCGTTGCAGTCAAGTCCAGCAGCTCACTTGGCACATAATCGACCATGCCTTCGCTTCCAGCGTACGAGAAGAGGTCACTAAGCTTGCTAGTAGGAGTGTCGGATATTTTAGTAAAATCGAGACCAAGTGTCAACATGTTCCCCTTTCCGTCGACTCCGGGTGGAGGAATCCTGGGGGCCTCTGATCCGTCCAATGATGGACCAAATGTGAATAGGAGCACATCGCTTGCCGAGCTGAATACAAGCGGCCATGGTTGTGTGAACTGTAATTCGAAGCTCTCGATATTTTTCAAATTAGAATCAAGCGTGACCGAGCTGGTAGCGGTAGAATCGAGTTCCTGAAACCATTTATTCGTCTCATCACTGTCATCAAGGCTAGCTGTCGGACTCGGCTTGTCAGCCAGAATAATGGCTTTGTCGGCGTTTAGGTTAGCCACAAATGTATCTATAGGACTACCTTTATCGAGTATGTTGATGCTTTCTCCTGGATCGTGTTCTGCCGAGCTGGCATAGATGAAGTAGAGCCCATTACTCTGCACGGCCTGAGATGAAGGTTCGTCTAGAATGTTACCGGCAGACATTGTAGGTGTTACTCCCACGATGAGTTTAATGTGCTGGACCAGCTACCTTAGTTAGTGTATATAATTCGGGCCAGTCTCCTTTTCAGTACTGCTACGTAGCTGCCAGTGTTCTCCTCTTGGAAGTCAGTGAGTAAAACTTTAGTCCTAGACAAAGTCGATGGAAGTCTTGCCGCGTATGAAGCCCCGCGAAAACGATATGACAAGCGATGCATCGAATCGCACGCCAAGGCCAACCCCCTGATAGAGACAACTCGGCCGAGGGACGGGAAGCCGAAATTCTACCTTGTTTTCCTTGTGATTGAAACCTGTCATAAATTTCTACGCCGGTCTCCATTGCGTATGTCGTTGTGAACATCCGTCTGAGGTGTGTTGGACGGGTGTGAATATAGAGCTACATTTAGGTAGTTCATATGTGCACAGGTATGTGTTGCATATGTGATGTATACTAGGTTACATCTGTACATATTTAATATACGTTGATGTGGGGTTCTAGACTATCGGAACCTTACCTACCCGAGAGCCAATCAAATGTGTAGTTCTCCCCCCCTTTTTCCGTTAGGGGTAATGCGCAGGATATCCCCGCCGAGCTGAACTAAATTGGCTGAGCGGGTATGCACGCCAGTATACCCCTGCCGCATAGCAAACGTCAACGTGGCTGAAATAATCAACGTTCTTTCCAACCTTCTCCAACGTCAATCAATCTGTACATATCATACATATCGGGGAGCTCGCTTAATGCAATATGCAAACAACCTTCTATAGCCTCTCGTTTTGCGAGTCATCCCACCATCGCTTCTTACTTCTCTATTAACTACGCTGATTCTACGAACGAATGACAACTAACACTATCTGCTCCAAGCTTTTGTTGACTTGACGGGGCAGTGAAGAGTGCATCCGGCTAGATAACTTTCTGCAGATTCAACGCAACTTGCAGATCAGAGAACTTGACTAGACGGGTACGACGCTACCGTACGGCAGACGTGAGAATCGATACGTTAGATCTACAATGACCAGACTGTCTATGCACGCCATCACCGAGAACTATACGAAGCATTCTTTTCCGATGATGACCGCGATATGCCGGCATCCTAGTTGGAGATATTCAGCTGGTAACTAGAAACTCTTTACTAATATTGACTAATGTTGCTTGTAGAATACTACCTAGCTCACGCAATGACGTTCATGTGAACCTCATACCTTTGTAGCACAATGCGTGCTTGGTTGCTAGCTTTGGAGGGAGACTACGAAGACTTTGGAGTACCTAAAGGCTGTATTCTTTAGGTTACCAAAACAAATCCTCAGCAAAGCTAAACGGCTTCTATTGTAGACTTGTCCTCCTTGTCTACCGTTTCTAATCATTTGATATTGCTAGAGCTGGTTTGATCTGTAAACCTCAAGTCCATCACAAGCTTAGCGACAATGTCGACAACCCAAGACTTCGAGGCACTCCTCGTGCCTATGCAGCTGGATGCCTTTATTCTCAATAAAGCTGTATGCGGCACTGGAAAGAAATACGATATGAGTGCTCATATCTGTCCCATCACACAGCCTAACTATACCTTTTTGCGCCTAGAAAACTTCCTGATCCAAAGCGATATCCAAAATCACGCCGACTTACACAACACGGCTCCGGCTGAAGTAAATTCGCGTATGACGGACCTAGGCGCGCGTCCTAATCCCCAGCCATTACGCCATCGCTATGGTGTTTATGTCCATTGGACGCTACCACGCTTCTACCGGTCAGGAGTGGCATCTAGCGAGACAGTGCCTGAGGTTTCGCGTAAGCAAGAACGGCTTCAACGTGGATTAAAAGCGACGCCCTCAGGGACCGAACAGCCTGCCCTTACTACGCCTGATTTTGTTCAACCACCTACGCGTTGGGTTGTGGTACGTAGGATCGACATCGACAGTATTCAACCAGAAACAGCCAAACCGGCGTTTGTCGGCCGTGAATATGAGGCATGGGTGGTGGAAAGTGACCATTTGTGGTCACTCGACGAGATCCCGCTCAATGTCGACTTGCAGACAGATGTGGCACCTTTTGTCACAGGTAAATCGGGCTCAGACGTCAATATTGAGGAGCAGGCTGAGGTTTTCATCGGACGCAAGACACCGCTAGCTGAATGGACTCCCGACGACCCCAATTCGAACGTCCAGCCACCCAATATCAGCCTTTTACGCAGCGGCAACCAGCTCTTTGCCGATTTTCAGATGCACAACTCGAACGTCTTCAGCATTCTTGATAATTTTGAGTACGCCGATGAAAGCGGCAAGCCTCAGTATCTAACCCATGCTCAGGCTAGCTACTATCTCCTGGGCTGGCATTGGAAGGACGATACCGACCCGCTCTGGAACTCTACCAAATCCACTGCACATGGGGCAAGCTTGGAATCCCTCTTTATGAAAATGAAAGGTGCCGATGGGAATCCGGATGACTGGAGCGACTGGCTAGACGATACGAGTCAACTGAGAGCATTATGCCACGGCGCTATGTACGACGTGATTTGGGATGAGGATAAGAAGCCTGCTACAACGCCGGCAGACGGGTACAATGCGCGCATCAGCGACCCGACGCAAGCAGCCGTGTCAGTTGGAACTACTCCCATGGATGCACTAATATCTTATTGCCATGCTCGCAAGGGTGAAGGTAATATTGACCAGTTAGAAGAGGATATTCTTGCACTCGAGTCATTACTGCTTTCACGCGACGACGGTGTCGAAGCGCAACGTGAGGCTAAGAATACCATCTACAATTGGTCCTTCAATCGCTCACCTGGAGGATCACATTTCCACTTCTCGGGCGAGGATGAATCTGGTAAACAGCCGGTCGAGCCTGAGCGACTGGCTGTTCTGAAGCTGTCTGAATTAAATCAAACACAGAGCCTATTAGACAGCTGCAGCACTGCCATGAAGCAATACCGCTGGGACATGTTCGCGCTGTGGTGGGGTTTTATGAGCGACGTGGGCAACGGCGAGGGCAGCAGTAACGAAACCGAGACTGGGGAATACCAAAAGAAAGTAAATGCCCTAGCAGAACATATAGGCAGCTTGCAAAGCCGCATAGACCAGTTGCAAAAAAAGATTGCAGATTTACTAAACCCGCAAGATGGTTCACAGAACCTACTAGAGACAGCTAAAGCGGCAAGCAAGCCTGTCTTCTACCGTGCAAACGACCCGACGGTCCTCATTGGTGGCATCCCATCTGGTTGGCCTATTGATTACCTGGATAAGGTAGCTGTCCGCGCGCCGGCTCAGACCATTCCCGCCAACGACGCTTCTAATCTACCGGCTGCCTTAAAGGACTTGTGTGATCTTCTAAAAAGGCAGCTCCCTGATATCCTTGGGGCACCTGCTAGTTCTTTAGTAACTGAGTTCTACGTCATCCAACAAGATGATAGTAGTTCTAACGAGCCACCTGCGGGTACATTTTACCCCCAGTTTCATGATCCCAATACCGCCGTTTCGGATGGGAGTTTACGCGACCAATGGGGAAACCGACAGCCATGGTTCCCCCTTTACGTCGAGTGGGAAACTGAGTACACGCATGTACCTTTCAGCTATTGGAAGCTCAGCGAACATACGGCCCGTCTTTCAGTCAACGAAATGGTACGCTACGGTATCACCGTTCCCTCCACGGACGGCCAGGAGCCACCGCCACTATGGAAGGCGCTACTTGATGAGCAGAAAGTCAATGGCCCGGACACGCGTGTGCTGTCTGGTCGGGTACTCATCTTGCCGCAGCCTAGCTTCTCGCTTGGAGCTAAGATAGCGCAGCTCTTTGACAACACACCGCCAGATATTCTGGACAAGTATTTGTCGAAGGAGCAGCGTGAAAACTTACGTGCAAACGTATCAAAGCTGTCATACCTGTCGATGCCGCTCTCTGGCTTTACTAATGGCATAGTAACACTAGCAGAGGGCAGCCACATCAAACCTGAAAATAAGACTATTGACTCGGGGGTCGAATCAAGCTCGGCTATTGCTGCAGCAGTTAATGATAAGGCAGGTTTAAGTAAAGAACACATTGAGCTAATCAAGGGAGAGTCGGCCTCAACGCCGTACGTAGCTTTAGCCAACTTCCTCGACAGTGCATGGTGCCCCTTTAAACCTGTGACCCATGGGCAGTTTAGGTACGTCATTAACTTCTCTATTCATTCCCGTCTGCATTCCTTTTGCTTACTCTCTATAGGTTCCGCAAGCTCAACATCATAGACAAGTTTGGCCAGGCTTTAGTTCCCATCGATCAAAATCCCCAAGTCGATGGCCCTCCACCCTTATATCCTTGTATCAGTGATTTCTATGAGCCGCAAACCATCAAGCTCGGGGACCAGGACTACGCCAACACAGTAATCGAGGATACCGCTGCCCAATGCGAGTTCCTCCAACTTCCACCCCAAATTAACCAGAACGCACGTCTTAACGCTAGCTTTGTCAAGCGTGTTTCCGACGATCCAGACGACGAAAAAAACGGTTTCGGAGCTCTTAAGACACTTTCTAGTGAACCGGCTGGATCGGCTACCTGGCGCCCGGCATCTGAGTGGGAGAACCCAATCTGGGGTTGGATTATTACAAATTATGCCGACTACGGTATCCAACTGTTCTTAGCAGACGGGACCTTTTACCGTGAAGTTCGCTTCGGTGGACCTCTTGGGACGTTGGACGCGCCGAAGTGGCTACCTTTTAGTCCCGATAAGGATACCCAACCGACTCCAGAGACACGCCAGCTCGATGCCCTCGTCAACAAACTCGTCGATCGTGACTACCTCCAGGGCTTCTGGACCATGATAACGAAAGCACAAGAGACGCTGTCGGCTGCACCGAATGACTATGCGCAGTTTCTCAACTCTATTGTGGGCAAGCCATTAGCCCTAGTTAATACGGGTTGGTCTCTCGAGCTCGACTCGCCGCCGCTAAAAAATCAGAGTACCAGGACCAAGGTCATGGATCCAGAGCGCGACCTGACGAAGCCAACCGACGATAAAGATTACTATCAGTTTCAAGTGCGACTAGGAGACCGCGATGCTACCTATGACGGGCTAGTGGGATATTTCGATACGACAGCTCCAGGTACTGACGAGCTCAATCTTGACTACATTAGGACGTTCTTTGCTCCAGATGACAAGGAAATTGTGCCACTAAAACCTCTCAACACCAACGAATATCCACTCTTCACACCCTTCTGGGAGCCCCCCTTCCCAACCGAGCCTTCCTATAGTAACCCAATTGAGCCGGCAGACTTCGATAACCGTCGCAACGCACGGATGTCAGTCTTCGGTGCTATCATCGACCCATTTACACCTATACACGCGTATTCATCCTTCCTACCAGCGTCAGAACTACTGCTGCCATCATGGACGTGGCAGAAGGCTATGAATACTATGACTGCATTCTTCCATGCGGGACCCCTGACACTACCACTCAGTGACGTGCCACCTTATGATCGCGCTCAGGTTCTTACGACACAGAATGCTAGGGACATTCCCAAGCGTGATCTGCCCCTACTGTCGCTTGGCGCGGGCGACTGGAGCTGGTTCGAGCCGTACGCCGCTGAGGGAGATGGGGACGGTGATGCTGTATTCAACCCCTTTGGCATTGAGAAAAGGGGTGATTTGACAAAGCCCGGATTCCAGAACGGCCCGTATACCGCCATCGAGGGATTCTTGCAGTTAAGGAATCCTATAATGATGCCCAAGGAGTAGAAGACACGGGAGGAGACTCCAAAGTATCTAGTTTGATAAATCTCTGCGTTATTAAGGATCTCTTATAAATGGATACTTATTATAACACGTTTATTACGGTCGCCACTATAAGATGTGAACATTATATCAGATATTGCTTTATTCAGTGACTTGTTTTATATTAGGATGTAACTCTTATATTGATTTAAACTGATGAGTGAAGGGCAGTCTTGCTTTAGGTATATACACCTTTTTAGAGTGAGTAAAGTACCCTAGTTTAGGTGCTTAACTCAACAATCACTTACAGCAATACTAATATAGTAATATAGGTAGTTAAATAAAGATAAGAACGAATTAGTATTTGCTAAGTCCCTGATATTTAAACATGATGGTAATTTTGATAACTGCATCCAATCCGAAGTAAAATATAACAACTCAAAAAAAGATAATATCAGTCTCCTTCCTCCTATATTGCGCGCACATTATCTCAGAGCTGGATATATACCATCTCTACGAGTCGCCACCAAAGAGCAACTTCCTTTCCAACTGTCCTTTCCCCGGCGGCATCTTCATCTGAGCCAGAATGGCGGTCCGGTCTGTAGGGTTGATGTACTCGTAGATCTCATCTGTGACCATATTCCACAGATAAACCTGCCCAGTAGAAGCGGTGAACATGTATGCGTCACCACCATTGTTACGGCTGACAATCATGAACCCCTCGGCGCCAGTCAAGCCAACTTGTTGGGCGGCCATGGTGCCATCCCCATTAGGGCCCCAGTAATACTCGATGTTCAGATCCTCTTTGGAGTTACTCCATCCCTCTGGTGGCAGATCATTGACCGCAGCCATCCTGTCTGTTGCTGTCTTTATTTCTGCTGCAGTGGTTGCTTTTGGCTTCCTCCTAGTCGAGCTTGCCGCTTTGGTCACCGAGAAGTTTGTTGCAATGGCCCCCGCATCAGAAATAAGTTTCCTGCAGTTTGCACAAGGACCGCAAAGGTAAGCTGACACATCGTCGTGGTTGTAGGTCTTCAAATCTTCATCCATCATATAATCTCTCTGAAGAGCAAGGCCCATTAAGTCTTTATTGTCAGAGCTGGAAAATCATTAGCCATTGGGGATGAGGGGAAGGTAATGGGGGAGAGAGGGGTTGGGGGGGGGTTTATACCTGGCGTTGCTGCGGATGCTGAAGATAAACGGATATGTCTCCGCACAGTTACCATACGGTTGATTTGAAGAAGTTTCTTTGTTAATTTGCACCGGTGAGCTGTCGAAATCATTCAGCGTAAACTTTTTAAGTTGTAAGCCGTGGTAAAGCCAATTAAATCGGCTACGCTGCACTGCCCTCCTCCATTTCCCGGTATATTTATCTTCATATTGAGGGTTCTCTACCCAGTCATCACCGGCCATGCTACTCCCAAGGAAGAAAACTTTATAATCGGCCGGAGGCGTTTTACCAGCTGGGCGTTTCTTATCGACTGGGGCCTTCACCAGTTTCCATGTAACCTGGAACATATAGGGCCAATCTCCCGCTCCATTTCCTCGAGTCTTCCACCCCCAACGCCAATGTGCATGACCGGCGATGCGTGAGCACCACCGCCCGTAGACTGCGGCCAGGGGCAAGAAATAGTTATTCTTATCAGCCGTTGTTGGAGCGGGGCCTAGACTACTAATGAAGAGTCCAAGAAGATCATAGGGATTCGCCCACTTGGACTCGAGAGATTTGTCCAGAGCTCCTTGGTGTTCGATCGCCCAACACAAGAGATTGAATTTAACTGGATCTTTATCCTCTAGCCAATTTACCCTGACTCTGCGTGGGAAGTGACTATTTGGTTTGGCACTTGGGTTAACAAATTGGCACCCGTTCGGGACCCTATATTTTCCTATAATCAGCTGGTCCACCTCCCTCAACGTGGGCATACGGTTCATACACACATAAGAGAAAAGAGTTTCCCCTTAATTCCTAAAAGTTTCTTTCGGACCTCTTCCTTCTTGGTCTGGTCGCCTCCTTTCTTACCCGCAACACAATCATTCAGCCATTGTTCGATCTGTTAGACTGTTAGCTTTGCCTATCTTATATTAAACCCATAGATAATTTAAAAGGAACAAGTCGAATCCAGTTCTATAATATTAAGCTAGTCCAGACAGCTAATAATACTTACATCTGATAAATTATAGTTGAAGGCCTCGCGAAAGAAGTCGTTATCGCCAAAAGCCGCGTGAAGCTGAACGTCCTTCGCTGCCATGATTTCAATACTTCAACGATTTTGCCAAATTAGTTACAATAAGTTGTGTCTATAACAAAAGACGATGTATACTTGTTAGTTCCGGCACCATTAGCTACCTTACGCAAGTAGTTAACTCGGCCAAGATATTTCATGATAGAGTCTATTTTTCTCCATGTCTCCTCATGCGTGATAATTGGTACGGGGCATCTTATGCTACAATGCATAATATTTTCTTTACTCCATGAAACTCCTATTTCCGCGGCATATGGCTGTCGCTGACGCAGTGGTTCTTCGTGTTATCATCATCCCGAACTGATGTAGGCCACATACAACGATCCGATGGAAGCTGAACCCCGCATCATGGAGTAGTATCTCTTATATTGCTTTTGCATATTTTGACATGTCGCCTATATTCGCATAAGAATGGTAACGTCGTGATAGAAAAAGGTAAGATCAGCTGTCTCAGACCAGCTGAAACTTGCATTCTGAGGGTATCATCGGTCTGCTGTGTTATGATGACGGCGTGATGCCGGATACCGGATACCGGATGCATTGCGAGAGTTTATAGCAGGTTTTACGCCGTAGTGTGCCCGAGTGGCTCATGCATTGCTAAAGAAACCATATACTTGATAGAATCTGAGCCGAGTATGTCGTCGATACTGTGCATGAGTTATAATACGAGCATAAGGCTTAACGGGTATATTATTATAAGCGTCTAACAAGGGTATGCATGTAAACAGGCAGCCCCTTTTTCTCCTTTCTTACACAAGACGAGGTCATAGCTCCGTGATAGCATCACAACCCGTAGCTTAACAGGTAATCGGTACCTTTTAACCATATCAAATATTAACATAGTCTTGGATTGTTTAAAATCTGAGTTATGTTTATATATAATAAAATACTCCACCACCATAATTTATAAAATAGCACCAACTTCCTAACGTGACATAACTTCGACGCCCTTTCAACTTAAAACAATGCGGTCCCTTAATCATCCTTGTTCATTACAAGAACTAATCAATCAATATTATCAAGGACGTGAGCAAAGGGGCTCTGATCCTCATCCCCTTCCGTACCCAGGTTCTTAGGAATGTAGAATACGTGATTAAACCCATTCGCCTGCGCAACGGTGATCTGACTGTTCTCAGCAACCAAGGGGGCGTCTTTGATCCGCTGAGAATCGACCCAATCATCTCCGTTCATCACGGCTCGCATGATATACAGATTTACGTTACAGTAATAGAGGTACACCTTTTTAGTTGACCCAGAGTAAGTCACCGCAATAGACGTATTGGGGATTATGTCGCCCGCACGTACGACAGAAACTGTTTGGTATCATTAACTACAGATCTTTCGTGTATATGAATCGTAAGAGAAAATTGGGAGGCATATCCCATGGCCATCGAGGACCCGGTAAAAGAATTAACTAGCTGCTTACGAGTTTCTTTATCTATATTGAAGTCGCGGAGCCCCCCGCCTTCGTAGATAATATGCCGTTCCTTATTGACCTGGTCATACCAAGCAGCTAAAGAGCTGTTATAATCTGCCTGGACACTACTACCCAGGACCTTGTTGGCTTTGGTGTTGAGGTCTAATTCCACCACTGCTTTTCTAGTATCGGAACCATCGCTACGAAGGTGGTTAAATAATTGCGCGAGAAAAACAAACGTCGAGGTAAAGAGTATATAATGAATAGGGAGAGGCACGGCTTACTGGAGATAATACAGCCAACCTTGATTCCCGTCTGTGGTCGTGCCTAAGGCAATGTGATTGTTCTCGAACGTTCCTGATGTGAGATCTTGGCAGATAGGCGATACAAGAGATATTTGGACATCCGCCCCTGTCTCGCTCTGCCCCTGCTTTGGTATCGTCATGGCTACCACAAATTTAAGCCCTTGGTAGTAGGCTGCCGCAATAGAAGACGGATTCAGGATGTATCTATTATAATGATTGTCGGCCGTTACCCAAGTGCCTTCAGCCTGGTTGTTGTTACCGGCACTAGACTGCAGCGAGATGGCTAGTTGTGCCTTGCTCGTATTGTAGAAAAGGCTAATGCTCTTATCATCTACAGAGCTCTTGTCGACAATCGCTGCCAAGGCCGCCATGATTGTTGATTGTACTGGAATACTAATGAAGTTTCAGTATTTTCAATTATACTATTAAGCTTGATTCTAAACGGTGAAATAATCGAATAGGTTTTGTAATGAGTAATGAAGGACTCAGTAGATGCCTCAACTTCTGAGTTCTATGGATGGCGTGAAAATAAACTGTGAGACCTGTCTGATGGCTCAAGGGGTTTACATTTCCTATTGCTTTCCAATATTATGTATCTCCTTTAGGTGCATAGTTATTACCATGTTATGAATGCTACTGCTCTTAATGACGAATAACACGCTGCCGGGCAATGCAATGAAATCCAACAATGCATCTCAATAGGTAGCTGAGAGCCAATACTTCGTTAATTGCATAGTGTCCGGAACGCACAAAACAGTATCCATATCCATTAGGTATATATGTACGTGTTATGTTACATGTTACTTTTTCTATCTCGTGGAAAATTGGATGCATTTGCAGGACTTGGCGTTGTAATGTAGCTCTATGCTTTCACACCTTAGGGTACCTATATCAACTTCTAGAGCATAGTTTCAACACCACCACGAACTTCAACCGGGGAAAATCAGTACCCAAGCATGTGCCGAACTGAGTAATGAATGAGTGTTATTATTCATGAATGGGGATGTTCTTATTATGGGGGTTCCAAATCGAAATTCGAGCAAGTCGCGGCGTTCAGCATTCCGAACCACTTAGGTATTATGTATCAAGTGACTTATTAGCAGCAGGAGAATGTGATTATACCACATTCTCTAATAGTAATAACTTATACAGACTTGACTGTGTCATATAGGACTTAGCCCAAGACTTTTTGATATCCATCTGAGAACGAACCCAAGCCCCAGTTCCTAATATCCTCTCTTCACTAAAGATACTCACAATGGGCATATTTCCCGGGGGCAAAAGCACTCGCATCAACTCTCCTCGCCATCTAACCCTTCGACACTCACGGCGAGCCGCTGCTGTATATCAACGCAAAGCGCGACAGCTTGCTGGTATAGCCGCCGTTGAGAGTGAGGAGGAGGTTGACCCTCTGGCACCTGGTGAACAAAAGCTCAACTCGTACTGGGCCCCAGGGCTCACAGCTGGTCCGAAACATAATATCACCGTCAGGCAGAATATAAAGGCTCCGACAGGCGAGGAATTGAACCTCAATGCGGAGAAATCCTTTTTCGTAGATGCGCCACAGTTCTCGCTTCCAGAAGGGAGCGTACACTCGACGTACCCTCCTCCAGGATATCCCGACACAAACAGGATTCTTCCTCATGTGGTCCTAACGGATCCGCATTTGCCATGGGAAAGACTCGGAAGTCAAATCCAGGGGACAAACAAGGAGCTTCAGATGAAGATGAGGGCATTTGCAGAAAGTGCCAGTGGCGAGACTGTACGCAACCGCGTGCCTTGGCTCGTCATGTTCTCCTTTTCTCAAGATGAGTTACGGCTACAGCCTCAGGACTTGGACGGGTCGACTGGCATCTTCCGCAACACAAGTTCTGGCGTAACCAAGCCTGTCAAACAATCAGGTACCATGACGGTCAACATGAGCATTGATGACCTATGGAAGGTGACAGACGTAACGACGCCCGTGACTAAAGAACTTGGGCCGGATAGCATGAAAAATAGTCGAGGCGACTTTATCTTTGTCAAGCCAGACCTCTTCACGAATCTCTTCCCCGCACGCGACCCTAATAACAACCCTGTCAAAGGTTCCAAGCCCAACGCACTACAATACCAGTACCAGGCACATGTACGCAAGATAAATGGTCAGGGTATGGCGCTAGCTGGTGTTGAAGACACGGCCGTCTTCAGTATTGTCGTCGGCAACCGGTCCGGCCCGCTTGACAATGAGACACCAGTAACCATGTCTGCACACCTCGTCTCTATCGAAGGCGTTGAGGAGATGCCTTGGCCCGGATCGAACCACCGCTATGTAGCGCTGTGCTCGCTACATAGCTGGAATTACACTGTCTTGCCGGCAAATACGCTTAACGTACCAGATGCCTTTGAAGATCTTGGCAGGACCCTCAACGTCCTCCGTGCTCCAGAGGAGATCATCTCGCCGCTACGGGCTTCAAACGACAAGATGCAACAGCTTGTTGCGAAACGGCTCGATGACGGATACACGCTCGTACGATATCGTACTCAGACGGGAGAATCCACCGTTGCCCTCTACCGTGGTCCATTCACACCTTCATTTGTCCCTCCCCTGGAAAACTTGACGACAAGCTCCAACTCGGGCGTCGACTTGCAAGTCCTTGACAAGCAACTTGGTATCATGGATATTACTTATTCAGTTGCTTGGCAAGTCGGTCGCACCATGGCCCTAGGCGATGAGGCCTATACAGCAGCACTTAACCGACTACGGACTTCGATCCATAGTACAGCCGAGGCCGCCTCCAAACTACAGACGGTGAAGAACATTGATGAAACGGCCTTCCGGACCCGCAGCGACGTACTAGGCGGCATCGATTCGGCCATCCGCAGTTTAGCCTCGATCCATCTCAGCGGTAACGACGATATAAATCCGGGGAACCCCATTCGTGCGCCGCGATACCTTCCCGGCGGCGCTAAGCGGCGATGGAAACGTCACCGTCTCGCGCGTTCTGAGCTACCAGATATGTCCTTTGGTTCACCGTTGATTCGTAAATACTTCCCAAATGAAGCTGTCAAAGCGGCACGATACCTCGCCCAGAGCACATCGGGGGACACGTATGACGAGACCAACGATCCAATGTCGACAGATTGGATGATTGTTCTTTCATGGCTCCTTGACCGCATGTTTCTCGCGGGTGTACCTGCTCACTGTCTCATACCTGACCCAACGTACCTTGAGCCCGAACGCCTACGCTTCTTCCGCATCGACAACAATTGGATTGACGCCTTAATAGACGGTGCTCTTTCACTCGGCAACCACTACGGTGATGACGAAGAACGTATGGCTATCAAAGAAGCCTTCAACGACTACATTAAGCACACGCCGGAGGGACAGGACCAGCCGATGCAGATCCCGGCCTACGGTTTCTATCTACGGTCAGACCTCGTCACCATGTTCCCGGACCTACGTGTAGAGGTTCTAGACGCTAATGGAACAACTGCCTCCTCTGGCGCGCCCCTTCTACGCCACGAAATTGTCACAGACGGCGTTATGATGGCCTTTATGGACCGTGTACCTGGCTCAGACCAATTTGCCAGTCTTGTCTTCACGCAGCCCGCACACCAACAACGCTTCGCTGTCGCCCGCGGTGTTGACCCAGAGCAGGTCAAGGTAGACATACGGCGGCAGTACACAGTCGATCAGAGCATTCGCCAAAAAGACAACGAGCGACATAAAGCACTCGGTGAGTCTATTATTTACAAACGCGACAGTGCCGACAATATCTTCCTCTGGGATGCCAAATCCGGCTCAGAATTAAATGACTTGCGCATCATTTGGCCACCGCAATTTGCTGCCAAACAGTTGAAAAAGCTTCAGGATGAAATGGGCACCTACAATGAGGACGGGACACAGAAGCCTTATTTCAATGATAATGAGCCAACATCAGCACTGTTTGCTATGCAACTGAACGATCCCATCTATAGCCTGACTATTGATCTCCAAAGCCATAATAGTTCAAAAGCGATAGCCCAAGTAGGGCCACCTGGGGGCTCAAGCAGTCCCGAAATCCGAACGCTAAGGCTTATGGGCACGGCACGGGTCAAGAAACTTACCCCAGATAACAGATCTGAAACCACACCTTCGAAAAAGCAAGACGACGATGATGACTATGGGGCCACTTTCAAGCGTCCTCAGGGCTACGCTGCCACACCCACGGCACTTTCTAGCTTCCTCGCCCCTCACGTCCGCGCGCTCCCAGTCACTTCCGCGGCTTCTCTTCCTGAACCTGATATACTTTCCCATATCAGGCAAAACCCAAGTGTCAAATCTGAAGCTGTATCTAGTGGCCAGCCTATCGTGCGTGATGTAGCTGGATCGCCCAGATTTCAGATAACCGTCTCAAGCAACATCATCGGGCACTGGGAAGAGGTCCAGCTCGATAATCACAACCTTGCGCAAGATCTCATCTTCTCAGTCATCGTGATCCAAGATGAAGTGAGTCAGTACCAACTTGTTGAGGTAGACATACAGATCGATGTCGGAGAATCTTCCACCTTCCTCATGAACACTTACACGGGCCCCGGCGCACACATGCTTACCAACATGCGCTTCAACGTGCTGCCCACCGTAGTTCAGGACGAAGATGGTAATAACCAGCTACGCCTGCGGCTGTTGCCGCGGTCCGCCAAAGGCTGGGTCTATGCTACGCAAGTCAGCGAGTTGACCTTCCTGCTCGGGTTGGCTAAGATTAACGCACCGGCGCAATTGAACAGTGAGTTCAGAGTCCAGACATGGGCCAAATATAAGAGGAGCCCTAACGAAGGGCTGGACCCTAAAAATCTCCTTACGATTACAAATCCGGATACGATAGTGAAGGTTGTGAATCTCGAGCACAGTCATTCTAGTTAGCTTCATGATAGGTGACGACTTAATTGCTTTTTACCCCTGAAGATAGGTGATAATCTAGCAAATCTTGTTTTTCATTTCGGATAGCGTAGAGCAAAGTATGCTAGACTACCGTGAGCGAAGCTTTCCTTGTGTACTATTAAGAACTGTACGAGCCGATAATCCGGGCCTTAACGGCTAAAAGAAACCGGCCGATGGGTCCACTATAACCGGAAAGGGGGTTCGGGCATAATCCGGAGAATATGTGGGTCGCCGTGCCGCGCCGCGCTGCCACGATAAATTAGTAGACAACAGGTCCATGGGTACTTCTATAAACTCGTTTCTCATACAGTACATTATTCTTGGCTCTGCATAGGTGTTGGTAGAAGTTGCTAAATATAACAATTAAATCCCAGTTGTTTCATAAGTTGTACCTAAATACCTGGATTCTGACTATCATCTCTTGCTTCGTGTAACGTTCCCAAGTACCTATTATATGCCAACGCAGATCCGCCGTTTGTTCCCTACGTTCATCCTTAGTAGCTCGCACTACTACCACATCATCCATTTACTATTATCCGTCCATCTCTTTTCCAGGCTTTCCATAGTACTTGCCTACCATGTCTAATCCATCCATAAAGCAAATATATCGCTTTCCTACCGAGTTTATCGAGAACGTACTCGTCCTCCCAAATGGAAAGCTCTTGCTAAGCACTTTCAAGTCGCCCGGTCCCCCCTATATCCCCGACCCAACGGCTACGGAGCCCCAGGCTAAACCAGTCGCCAGCTTTGACAAGGGAATTACAGGCCTAACAGGTATAGTTCCACTTGAAAATGGTCTATATGCTGTTAGCGGCGGTTTGCACACGTCCTTCTCCTTCCAGAGGGGTAGTATGAAGCTGTTCACAGTGTCGCTTCAATCAGGCAAAGTAGTCGATAGCATTCCGGTCCCAGATACGGCCACAATGAACGGTCTGGCCATACTTCCATATAATCCCCATGTCGTTCTTAGTGCCGATTCCATTGAAGGGCGCATATTTGCTATCGACACCCACACCAGAGAAGTTAGTGTCATATTCGAGAACATTGATCTCGGCTCCAGCGGTTAGGATAGTTCATCGGGCGTGCCGTCGATCGGAATCAACGGCCTTAGAACTCGCGGCAACTACATCTACTTCACAAACTCGGCCCAGGGAACCTTCTCACGTTTTCGTGTCGATAAAAACGGCAAGAGGATCAGTTACTTTGAAGTCTTAGCGTGAAGTCCTGCAGTGAACCAGATCTACGATAACTTTACCTTTGATCGTGAGGGCAATGCATACATCGCTACACATTCATCATCGGTAGTCAAAGTTTCGCCGGAGCTAGCTGTCATATATTTCATGGATATAAAATGCGGCCAGAGTTGGTAGTGGGCCCTAGCCCCTATTGCCTTAGTAGAAATGGAATATTTTCCCACACATAATTAGTGAGATTAGGTTATGCACAGTAGCACACTCGCACCTATGGATATACCCTATAGCTTAGTAGTATAACGGTTGATGGTTGATGGTGATTTGTTAAGATTTTGGAAAATTATTATACGTAGCCCCTGAGTCATATGACTACCCAAGTACCTACCTAACCTACATACTACCACAAATCCTTATTTTAATTTATTACTTAGGTAGACATGCATGTCTATTATATGGCAGGGTTATTATGATGAACTTTGCCTTGTAGAATAGCAATATAGCTATCTGCTGGTTAGTTGAGTTAAGTTTAAAGTTTACCCCTAAGTTTATCTCGGTCTGCTCAGTCGATTTAGCTACCCAACTATAGAAGCAAAGTTACAAAACATTCATTACTATCCACACTTATAATTATTCACATCAAGTAACCACACCTTGACTAGTAACAGACTAGGTTTATCAATTTGATAGGAGAGTTAAGTATTATAAACCGTATATATTTATGTAACTTTTGCATTCCTTAAGAAGACCACCTCTTCTTCTAAGCGTTTCCTATTGCTATCAATTCTGACCCCTTTCCCGAAAAGCTTTCTGAATACCTACTCCCACAGTCAATAGTCTGTCACATACATATAAATAGAGTTATGATCAATGTTGTTAGCAGAAGTACAAAATACTAAGTCGCGTTGCCAGATCCCAAATTATTATCCCGTGCTACCACTATTATTCGAAAATAAAGGCTCTGCTTCCAAACATTCCAAAGTGTGACTTTGGACTTTATCATATGGCGTATTTGCCAGGTGGACTTCTGTCTGTATTCCATTTTTCCTATGCAAGTCCGTCTTAAATATCCCACTACCTTAAGGTAGGTACCTAGGCAACACCCCTCGTTCGCATGGTGAATTGCACTACACGTATCGTACTCTAACATTCTACAAATTCATCCTTAGGGAAACAAGTTCGCTCCTTCTGTAGAATTCGGTTGCCGATTAACCCCCAAATAATTTTAGGCATCATTTATCTTTTGCCTCTTCCCTTCCGTCGTATCATCAACAAGACGATTTTTTATCGTCGCCCTAGAATCATTCACCATAACATCCAGTTTTGGAACGCGCCTAATGCAATCTTCATCCTCCTTTAATATATCCAAACGGAGTTTTTGCATGCTTTATCAACTTGGTTACTATTTCTACCCAGAATAGAACTACGACGCGACATTCACCCAGTTATCATTGTCGGCAGCATTATATGCAAGGCTTTCTTTTATGGACTACGCCTTATCTATATTGGAGTCAAGTAGTTGATATCCTCGGTCTTCCATCGTCACGATGGATTGCAAGGTCCTTCGAAAAGGCCTTAGACTTATTGATGGCCTAACTTTCAATTCAGTCAGCCAGCTGTCCCTGGATCCTGACAACATTCTCTCCCCTCTTGTAACTGCAGGGCTCAGCAATGCCACCCCAGACGAAGTTCATGAAGCAATCATACATCCAATCAGAATGCTCTTCCTTGTCTGTATCAAGAATAAAGATGTATACATTCGTGTGCGAGGCGACGAATCTTTCTATTACCTTATCCTATCCGAGTGGAACCCGGCTACCTTGGCTACTCCTTTCGCACCTGCGCTGCTTGGGAAACTTGTCTCTTTGTTCGTCGGTGCACGTCGCCGTTATCTATCAGACGAACATTCTACAGAAGAAACTACGAACCTGACAACAGCCATTGATGGATTCATCACAATAGTTGATCAAGTTGATAGCACCATTGAAACAAGACGTGTCCCTAGCCTAAAGGCCCCCAAAGCCTTTAAAGTCACCCGTCCGTGGCCTCCCGACTACTTCAGCAAGCTCGATGTCGCGATACTGGGGGAGACCACAACTCGGAAGGCGCTCTTCGGCATCGATCACGAGAATAGAGGGGATGAGGAAGACGCACCTTTGTATCCGCACGACCAGAGTCTTCCCCTATATGTCCGCAAGTACCTCTGCTGGTTATCCTTGACCGAAACGATGCCCGAGTCCAAGGGTGCGCTGTTTCTTGCTCCTATAGCATTCATCTCCGACAAACAGCGCCAAGAGTGGTACAGGCCTACTGGACATAAGTCTCGCTTCTACGCCACAGTGAACGAGTTTCTCGGCTACGCCAAGGTAGAATTTGAGAAGACAGGAAAAGGAGCAAAGCACCATGTGATCGGTCTCCTTACTCCGTGGTTCTTTGATGTAGAAGAAGTTGCATCGGCGGCAGCAAAAAGAGATGAAGCTATTCCCATTGTGTGGGAGAAGACATGCTTCAGGGCTGGAATGGTGCTTTGCCTAAGCAAGTTCGAACGGGATGGTTATCTGTGGCGTATTCAGTTGGCTATGTTTAAGCCAGGCCTCCCTTACTATCAGAGCGCAGCCGAGCCGCAGAGCCGGCAAAAAAAGCAAGATGTGTGGATTACGGAACTCCTAAAGAAGGTCAATGAATACTTTTGTGTGTCGAGGGCGTGGACCGGAGGTAAATCTCAAAACCATGTTAGTCCTCCGTCTTCTCGCAAAGTCTCAGCCGACTCGGTTGAATTATCGAGTGAATTTATCACGGAAATCATGGAGGCCCCGGGCGTGCTTCCTATAACGGCTGTAGAACACGTTAATATGGGATTTGAAGCTATGAGAGGGTATGATGGGTATCCCAGCTTATAGAAAGTAATATGGAAGGGTCAAGATATTGGCAAAGAGCAGAGGCGATACCACGCAAGTCTACTCTAGATATAGTTTAGACAGTATTTGTCATGAATGTCTAATAGTTGTTGTATTTATACTTTCAATACACAACATAGGACCTAGGTATTATTTTCCCCTTTCAAGCCACATAAATTTAGTGGGGTGCCATTGATGTTACGTAATCAAAATAGGTACCTATGTACATTTATGGCTGTCCCAGCCACAATAATAAATAACTCCCGTCCTTCCATATGTAGATTTGCCCAATCATGCAAAGTTACCCCATTAACCTCGAAACCTCAGCACTAGGACAATAACTAACGATGTTGTTTTCTAACCTCCCAAATGAATTGGTTCAAGAGATCCCTATCGCGGCTGTTCGATTACGCGTGAGTAAAATTAGTTTTGGTAGGAGTAGTGTCGAACGCGCTCTCCGATTACGACCCGTTAGCCAATTATGGGACACCGTAACAATGTACGCGATATTTCAGTCAGGAATCTTTACCGAGCCTAAACTGTTGCCGTTCCCTTATATTTGTCGTCCATTCTGGTCTCGATATCTTATAGACAAGTTAATGTATACGACCGAACCGCTAACTCGGTCACTCCTTATTATCCGACAAGTTGCAAAGCGTATTTTAGCTTTCCGCGGCGAAGACACTTGGGGTGAAAAACTGGAAAAGTGTATTTTCGAGATCTCCAAAATTTGTATGAATACAAAAGATCATTACGGTGGATGCTATGTAACCTGGACGATACCCCCAATAAGAGACACTAGGGAGTCGACCAAGATCATGGATCACGATGAAGACTTCATGCAGGCTCTATTAACAGCTGCAGCTCTTACCAACGAAGTAAAATTGGTGCAGGAGCTGCTTCCGTATTTCCGAGAGTCACCACATCTAATTTCCCCTCCACGTGGATACAATAACACGTAAGTTGTCTACCTATTAACCTAGGTTACTTGGTTATCCGTTAGAAGGGGCTGCTTTCAAGGTAAATGTTGAAATAGTGCACATATTTTTAGACTTCATCGAAGCAAACGTAGGAGAGGGTCTGCAAGAAGAAGTAGCGCATGCCATCGTCACCTCAGCACAGTTGTTTACCTACTGAAAATGGGGTTTAAAGCCGATCATATTTCGATATGCCAAGCTACTCGGCATGGAAATCTTCATATACTGCGGCTACTACTGGAAAACATCGTTCACCACACTGTTGATTGGGACGGTGCCCTACTACAGGCAGTGAGAAGTGAAAATGAGTCGGCTTTCCGACTGTTGGTGGAATCTGGAGCACCACTTCACGAGTGGGTTGAAAGTGAGGGACTACGTATAGCGGAAGAAGAGGGCTTGGAATCGATGGTTAATTTAATTAAAGAGTACGAGTGGGAGATACCACGCCTTGAATTCATAGAAAGTGTGGAATCAAAACTGGCTTAATGTCAGATTATCCACTTGACCAAAAGGTAACTTGTAATGTCATAAAATGTCATTACTTATTATATGCGACACGTATCTTGTAACCACATAAATGTTGTTACTTAGGTACATACCTAATATATGCGATACTTGATTTTAGCTTTTAATAACGCTTTATTCATTGAAGTAGGGAATATAATAAAGCTCTTTGATTTGATTGGCTAGAATCGGGACCGGGGGCCAGACAAACCCCGGTCATGCACAAGCTTAGGGAGGTAAGTAGCTGCTTTACCTAATAACCACTTAGTACTCCTATTACTAAAGATTCCAAGATGCGCCTTGCCTGCATAAACGATTCTGGGGAAGTGGTCGATATTGCCGCCGCTATTGCGAAACAACCTTTCCAGGCCCGATCCCTGCTGCTGGATTCGTTGTTCTCGTCCTTCCAACTTCTCCCAGGCTCTCCCGACTTTTTCCATACGGAACATGCTATTCGCGACGCACTGGTCAAAGTCCAGGGCCAACAGGAACGATACGTGAGGACGTATATCCTTACACGGTCTCTCGATATCCGCACAGAGAAAACCCCAAGGGCAAACCTGATCCATGCTTCCTTCAATCATGGCGGTCCCATAGCGCTTCTCGGTATTTTTTACGCCACCTTTGACGCGCACCGCAACACCCGCAGTCGTGAGACCCTCGACTATCTTGTAAATAGGGCCTCCGAAGAATCCAGACTCGAGCTGATCTACCGGACCAACACATTCCCCCACAACCCTTCTGTGGTTGGTTGGCTCGAACGCATCTTCGACAAGTTTGATTCGGACACGCAGGGGCTTGCGTGCATTCTGCAGTGGTTGGGTACATCTAACATACCAGTAGACATATTTCGCCGAGCCAGAGTGCCCTCCTTAAGTTGGGGTGCCGATGGCGAGGTAACTGGCATTTCCACTCGCATCATCTCCCTGGTTAAAGATGAAGAAAAGCTAGCTACAGCTACCTGGAATCTAGACTTCTCCGGGTTTTCTAAGTCAAGGCCACCTGTAATAGATATAAATAGGCGCGTAGCTGAACTTCTCAAACATCGTCTGCAGACTGCCACCTGGCTCCCAAAAGTGGCCAAGATCATTTTCCACGCAATACCTAAATACGCACCGGCGGGGCCTGAGTATGCATTGGGGAGTCTATTTTACATGTATAACCTTAGTGTGCTAATATTAAACAGGGAAAATTGTGTCCAGATATGCGAGTCGCTGATGCCCCATGTCGCACTCATTCTAAGCCATTTAGATGATACCCAGGTAGGAATCCTTCGTGACCAGATGGATCTTGGGGAGGTTGTCGAGTCATGTTTGTCAATGTCATATTTTCGCGATAAGCACTGGAAGATGCAGGCCATATCGGTTGCTACGCGTGCCATCAACGCCTTGCAGGATAATGCTGTCACCAAGACATTACTCCAAGCCAGGGTGGATGCAAGGAGGTATTTTCTATCCGTTTTATATCCGGATAGCGATATTGACGGAAATCAAGAAGAACAAACCAACGTTCCTGTCGTTGATTGCCTCTCCAATGCCTTCGCGGCAGCACTAGCGATAACAAGGGCTCGAAGATGTGTACAGCTGAACCAGTTATCGTCCGCCCTCAACCATCTAGACAATCATGTTTTCCTGAATAATAACCCCCCTTCAACTCTTGAAATTCTGTGGAAACGTCGCATGGCTCTCATGCGTGCCAGGATCTTACGCTTCGAAGGTCATTTTCAGCAAGCCCACGATATCCTGCTGGACTTGCCGCAGCACATAGACGCAGTCTGGGTGTTGCTTAGTACGGTGCTTTCCGAGCTTGGTAGATACGACGAAGCAATTGAGATGCTTAAAACACGTAATCCAACCCAAGAAAAGACCAGCTTACGAGCTCAGCTCAGCCTAGCCCATGCATATCTCTTAAAATGCATGCATGCGTCGCTCGGAGGGCAAGTCATTGACCAGATTTCATTACAAATGTCGGGTGACATCTACGAGAGACTCTGTCGTCATCACCACCCCAGTAATTATTTTGAGAAGATGGACTATTATCTTTCTATCCTAATGGGGCTCGCTGCCGTTAAGCACATGAGCGGCCAGGCCGACGCCGCTTTACTCGCGTGGAAGAAAGCACTTTATACCTCGATGGACTGGCTCCCCACTGGCTATACAGATATGATAATTTCGTATTCTATAAGCGAACTCGAGTCACGGCGAGAATGCTACATTATGGCAGACGCCTTTGCAGGACAAGCGAGCATGTTGTTCTCCAAGACTGGTCGGCAGCATCATTTCCCTGGTTTGGGATCTCTTTGGCCTGATATCATAGGACACTGGCGCTTTTCCCGAGGGCAAGATCCCATAATTTTACAATGAGCTGACCATTATAACTACTTAAATATATATATAACTACCTATATATATTATAAGGTTAAAGGTGTTTTCAAATACTAGCTGCGTTACCCATCTAATCCAATAAAGTACCTAGTGTCAGGATTCTAGATGAGACATTTAGAACAAAGGACATGTTCAGTGTGTATAGACATAGGCCCTCGTAGATAGATTAGAGTTCCTCGCGGAACAACGAAGTTGTTTCCCTACTATTTAGTTCCACCTCGTGACAGTTAGAAACAGCAACGAAGCTGCTATATAGTAGCCGTGTAATAGTATAGATCTATTAACGCTTAACCTTCTATCCTCTTATAAAGGCGCGTAGCGCCTTTTATAATATATCTACTTTACGTAGATTTATAACTAGGTAATTTATACTAACTAGCTTCACTTATCCGCTGACAGTTTAATACGTTTAGCTACAGGCTTCCGTAGTTAGGTTAGAGTTCCTCATTGAACAACTTCGTTGTTTCAATGCATTTTACTTCCACCTCATGACAGGTGTAGCAACCTCTTGTTACACTGACGCAAAAAGAGTGGCATCGTGATGATTTATCTAAGGATCAACTCGGCTAATTGTGATTGGATACAGCTTAACCTTTCATATATCTTATATCTCAGCACCAACTACAAGTGTTAAGATGTTCAAGCGCTTATCCGGTAGACGACAAAGGATCGCTTCTTAATAATAACATAAGCTTGGCAGCGAGACATTTCTTCTAAACGGTGAGTATTCTCAAAGATAATGCAGGCCGATTGCTGTAATACCTGAACTAAACTCGACATCCTCGCAAAGTTAATACATCGTTTTGCAACGACTAGCGACGCACCACCGATAGAACATGGCCTATCTGCAGCCCAGTCTATTAATCAAGTATTTAAACACGAGCAGGAAATGTAGACTTCACATCCATCTTGGTGGTCCAGCCCTAGATGTTATTTTTATGGACATCTTAGCGTAGTGCGGCTACCGTCAGACTTTGGTAATATTGATGATACGGTTGATAGGGGGCGGTGCCCTATTAGAGGCAGTGAGAGGCAAAAACGGGTCGGTTTTCGGCTATTGGTAGGCAGACTCCAAAATAATACCTAGGTATTTGTCATTGGCTAAACGAATAATGCCTTGCCGCATGCTGTAACGTCTAACCGAGTGCCACGAATCAACAGCAAAATACCTCGATAAATGCATGATAAACTTCAGGCCTACGCGTAGGTAGCTAATCAGGTACCTATTAAGTTCGGGCCGCAAACACGAAATAGTGAAACGTAGCCGTAGATGATATGGCAGGAAGCATCCTATTACGTCGACATGGGGCTGAGTAATTTAGAAACCAGAAGTGCTTAAGGTTTGAGGTGTCTGTCAGGAATCTATTCAGTACGAGATTTAATACGTCATTCTATATATCACTTTAGGGGATATAATATGCCTTCCCGTCTTCCTTTTCTTTTTCAACAAGGCTCTAGGTTAAACGCCACCAATTTGCTGCTTTAGTATAGGCTTTCAAGTAGGTTAACCGAGAGGCTATCATATTCTTAACGTCAAGAATTGGAATCGAATTGTTAACAAGCTCCTAAAGGAGTATGGAGGTTCTCGGTACCGTTGCAGCCGCAGGGCAGCTCTTTGGAACATCTGTTAAAATCCTCGAATTGATTGGAGAACTTCGAGAGTTCCTAAAGAATGCCCAGGGCAAATGCGAAGGATGGCTTGCCCAGCTGACGGCCCTGGATAATGCAATTTCTGATATCCGACAAAACCCGACATTAGACACGAAAAACATACTGCTTATCATAGAGGCGATGCACCCGAAGCTTAATCAGCTAGGCATTCTCTTACCCCGTTATAGCCCAGTCAGCAGTCCGGGACCAAAGATAAGATTCGCTACAAGAATGAGGGGTGCGCTATTAGCCAGAACAGTCGAAGCCCGAATCACTCAACTTTTCCAATCGCTAGAACACGATAAAACCACACTTATCTTAACGATTGCCAACCTTAACAGATCGAAGATAGAGCAAGATAAACTCAAATCCGTAAAGGAAGATACAAAGGAAGATACGCATACTACGGCCCAAGAGGTATCTAGTCCGAACAGACCGCCCCGTAAGTGGAGCCCGGCCTACATCTACATAAGACTTCTCCCCTATCTTTGCCTACTACAAGTCTAAAAGCATTCTACTAACATAGGTTTCGTCCCTTTACAGATCATATAAAAATGAACCGAGGACAATCTAGCCAAGATCAAAATAATCGTGCTGCCGAGGCAGATCAAACCGTGGTACGTAGTTTCAAGAGTAATGGTTGGGAAAGAATTCTTATTAACATAGAATTACAGCAATCCCCTAGTGTCACGTCTCCTATGAGTAGCACTGTTTTTGAGCATGTCGACGTTGAAGGAAACGATTGGACTCTGGCCAATTGCAAAGAAAGTAACATGACAGCGAAGAATATTAAGGGCCGGGGCAATCGCCTCTGGCTTGGGGTTTACAGTGACGAAGTGATGCTAGCACATGCACGATCTGCACCAAGCAATAACCAAACAACCCAGAACGTCCAGAACTCTACGAATAATAACTCAATGCCCACACCGAAGGCCACACCGAAGGCCACACCGAAGGCCATACTGAAGGCCACGGTGCCGCTCCCGGTATCTCCCCCGGAATCGCCCACGGATGACACAATTCAGCCTCCAGCAAAAGGCTCAAGAATCGGAAGATTCTAAATCGCGTTTTTCCGTATATGGAAAGATATATTTCGCGATTGATACGTTGATACGGTGAACCGGATATGATATAGTGTGTCAGAATATAAGTGTGTTAGGGGTAGATTCAGGGGTGTATATATTATATATGATGATGATGATGAGAACGTTTATGTCTATTAGGGCTATATATGTTGGAATATGGGGAATAGCCAATTATGTAAGCTAGTCACGTGCCACCGCGTGCGTGGGGCTAAGCCTAAAAGGGTTTACCTTTTAGGCTAACCCACACACACACAACTCAACAATAGACAACAACAGATCGTGATAGCCTCATTTCAGTATTGTGTTTCCTTTCCTTTGCCGTACGCTTATTGGTGTACACCTAATCTTTACCTAATTATCATTTACCTGGTCTTCCTACAATATAGGTTAAATTTAACATATCCGAATCAACGAGACCCAGTGATTAAAGTTTGGCCTGATATTATCGAAGTAGATATCTTCCTGTTTAAGCCAGCTCTCCTCTCCCTTTCTTTCGACCCTATGGACCAGGACTTCATACCGGTTGGGCTGTTACTTATTCAACATGTTCAACAGCTTAACATGCACATGCTTAGTATAGTCGGTGTGGCATCACAGAAATATCACGAGTATATGTCAGTTTCGCAGCATTGAGGCTGTTCAGAATATACACTTACCTTATGTTTTTCTATGTTATTTACCAGCGCAAGGCAATTATTAAAACATAATACCTCGCAATTCTCCTCCAAGTAATTTTTTATCCGAGACTCGTAAAAAAGTTACATATCCCTACCAATAGGCTTCTCCTTAACACTAGTACGAGACGTTTACCAAAACCTCCTGCTTACTATATCAATATGCCACTGGCTCCTGAAATCAACCTACCTAGTGAAGACTTAATATGTCACTGTGGTGCACGAGCTCCGTACTTGTTCTTAGCATCGCTGGACGAAACAGGGGAGCCCAAGCTTGACACCGGTAGGACTTCTACTAAACACATCCTAACGATATCTAATATCCAATATTCTAGGGATCAGAAGAGCAATATGTAGTTACTATTCCTGTGGCTTCCATGCCGATTGGGAGCATCGTGTTAAAGTCGAAGAAATCAGTCAAGGAAACTGGAGATCTCCTACAATACAGTTACCCCGGTCCGACTTGATACAACAGGGGAGATTCAATGATATCTCCGTCGTGGGTAATAATAACCGTATTGGCAGTAAGAATATCGATTGTGAGCATGTCCACGTAATGGGATATAAACTGAGTATTATTTGGCACATAGATTGGTTACACATAGGCCACTTGACCATCAACCATTGCATCAATCCCAGAGAGCTCCAGGCATATAGCACTGAAACACTGGATCCTCCGTATTCGCCATTTAACGCCGAGAACACGAGACGGAATATCTCTGAGGTTCATATTCAGGGTGGCCAAGTACCTCTTATACAACTAGTTCTGGAGTATTTTGGCAACTTCTGGCGAGGATTCTTGGCCTTAGCCAAAGCTAGACAAATTGTGAGAACGATAATATAGCAGCGAATTTTCACGGAAACTAGTGCTTCTTACGCTAAATGAAAATAACATCTCTATCATAGCTATTCTCCGCCTTTTTCTTTTTCTTTTTTTTTCTTTTTTTTTGCTATCTTTACAACTCAAGAAGCGAGTGTAATGTAAATGGCCATGGTATGGTCTTGCGCGATTATGGGTCAGATAGAATCTCAGTATAGATAGTTTCATTTTTCTAAATACAAACCTAAGGGCCAGTCACTAGATATGGCTTAAGAAGGTGTAAGGGAAATATTTTCTTTGCCTTTCTTTTCCTCCCGTCCCATCGTAAATACAAACCAGGCTTGAAATTAGTAACTCGCGCTCTCGACACGTCGCCCAGTATTTAGTTCTAATTAGATTAACAATCGCTCGTGAAGAGCTCCTACGTAGTGAGATGAAATTAACAAAGGGAATATTCCTCCAGTCTTAATATTTTCGCCTCGCTAAAAGTGGTCAGTATTTAACAATTACGCGGAGAGATATCTCGGGGCTGGCTCAAAAATAGATTGGACAAATGTAACCTACAAGTAGCAAGACAAAAGCTTAGTATAGAATGAGACTTCAATCTACTAAAAAGGACTGCCTAGAAGCTACCCGATTCATAAGCAAGGCACGATTCAGATCGTAAATATGCATATTCTCGTTCTATTTACCGCAATACGGTTTCACTGCTCAGGTGTTCTAGATTCCCTAATTTCATGTAATTAGGGGCGAATAACGCGTTCCCACGATCTCACAACAATCAATCAGATCATCAAGAATTTCATCATTATTTCCTCGTATCAAGGCCCTAATAACACGTATCAGTTATGTGACACGATGGGTGTTGACGCCAGCAGACACGCAAGAGCTTGTCAACTACTTGAGATCCTCCCTATCACTTTATCCCTTCAAACATCTATCGTTCTCCCTGACGACCTAAGATTTGCGAATGATACTGTTCGGTTCTCGTCATACCACGAATTCACACTGATTCCGCATCTGTGAAACGTGCTAGCAAGCTGGGGCGCGAAGGATTGAGTTGATATGGGACCATCTCTCCCCTTTCCCACGGCCACCAATTGAAAACACGATACAGTCCATTAAGTAGCACACAGAAAGTAATTTTGAATGAGCAGATCAATTAAGTGTCGAGACGCGTTGAGGCGTGTACTAAATAACAGGTCATAGCAGAGTTCTTCTATGCCATACACACTATTTCCAAAGTGCGAACTTGTAGGTTAAAGCCAAGCAAACCAAAGCAAACGGAAAAAAAGAAGAAAAGAAAAACTTAGCTAAGTCAGGAAGTGGACAGCCTGTTTGCAGGGGGAAAAAAATTTTATGCTAGGAACTATCAAGTTCGCACTTTAGGAGAAAATACGCTATGGGCTTTTTACTTACTATGTAAACTGTCTAAGAGTATTATATCACCAGACCAGTGTAAGGAAGGGGTCAATGTGGAGAGTTCATTTATCAATCATCCAGAGAAACGACTTATAAAACTGAGATCTCCCTAACAAGAAACCATATATAAGCTGTCCTACTTACAAGTTAACCTACATCACACAAATGTCGTCAAGACTGAATTACACTAGTAACTTGAGCCGCATCAATCCGGATCCGCCCGGTACTCGAAAGAAAACATACCCCCCGCCAGTATGACAAATCTCAATTACGTAATGAGTGAAACCCAATAAGGCAGAAGGCTCGGGTTTGGCAACCCAAAAGCCTTATCTTCTACTTTCACATTCCACATTCCCCATTCCACATTCCAATTTCTACAATGGATCCGCGACTTCCCTGCTCAATACATATCTATCGAACTCATATCACGGCTACTTATACTGGCATAGCGCAGCAGTTTCCGATATGTATAGTTATCGGATAAGTCCGGTGGGGCATTGCCTAACCGATGGCGCGCATCTTTACTTACTCCCCCCAGTAGGGCGAGCATAGCGCCTTAGAAGACGATATCATAGTGTCATACATTCTAGTCCATACACTACTACGGTCAGAACATGGTAAACCTATTTCCCCTTCCTGGCCATCGTCATATAATCACGTAGGTTAGACTAACACAAATTTCATCTAGATGTGGCTTTTCAGAGTCTCGGGTATATAACCCCACCTATCCTGCGATTTCCCTTGGGCGAACTCTCCAAATGATGTAACCCTCGTTATCGCTCCTCGATAAGTCGGCTCCGCGCCACGTCGCGTCGTCCTGGGCAGGACGATAAAAGGCCCAAGTAGTCGTGGAGCACATATGGACTTCGGACGTTGACGGTCCTAGGCATGACGGAATGACGAAAAAAAGGCCTACGAGCAGCCACGTAGATCTGTTTGATCTATGTTTAATGCTAAGTCCTTGGCAAGACATTGAAAAAGGCCTTCTTTGGCGTGGTATTGCGTTTGCCTCGGGCAACGACATCGCGCATGTACAGCTACCACAGGATGCACGAATATAATGAGTTTTCATGTGATTATTAATTTATCGGCACTTTAGAGGTCATATAGCGTGATTCGTCATGTAGGGTGAGTACTGTCCCCTATACCCTGTTCGATGAGGCGGTGGCTAACATGTTGGATCAGGTAGATGTACGATCTAGAGTTCTACGTTCGAACAAGTTCCAATTCGGCATGTACGACGATAACGATGAGGTAATATCTGGTAAAAGCAACGGCTATCCATGCGGATAGACACGGTACGGCAAATTTGTTACTTGTACGACCTAGCATTTCAGGCGTTCACAAAGGTCCGGGTACAATTCAATCGCCAATGTTATGTAAGTTTTCCGAGGAAGCCAAATAGCATTAATACATACTAATGCATCGCAGAGCTACACGGTAATCTCCACAGTCATAATCGTCCTGGGCACGACGATAAACGGCCTTCTTCGCTGCGAGTAATGAAACCCAGACGACTTCTTCTAGATTTCATTTCTCCAGAATTTATTCTTCGTGGAGTTTAAAAAGGATTACTCCTTGCTCCATGAATTATTAGGTGGCATCACAGCTGATCCTGAACCTGTAATGCAAAACACCGAGGCTATTGCTTGCTGTTTCATATACATATTCTAGGGCTACCGATACACCGAAAGTAAAGACACGAACAAAAAAAAAAAAAAGTTCGTAAAGCATCAATATAGTGCCTATTGCTACTATAAAGGGCATCAGTTGCTGTATTTAATTACAGCATCTCGATCATGAGATGATGCTGGTCTTACACGTCAAGCGCTCCAAAATTTTTGCTTGCGCTAAATGGCAGTTATGGATACGACCCCGTATGCCTGTACCGGTCCATTTCACGGCCCGGCTAGCCAGCAAAGTGCTGACTCTGGGATTGGGGTTTTCTCTTTATAGGGGATCTTCCGTAGGGGAAGCCTGAATCCCCTTTTTTTGTTCGAAGTTTTTAGCAATCGAGCTGATCTATACAACCGGGGTGCCTCGGCATATTACGCCGGCATCACGGGACGGCCCCTCACGGCTCATGATGGTGTTGAGACGAGAAATATAATTCTGCGTCGCCCTGAGCCTGAGGTAACGGCTGTCTGTACCTCCATATACTTGGGTTCTTTCTGAAGGAGATAAGCGCGATAGTAAGGGCAATATGCCGGAACGCGAGAGATGACCCGTCAAGACTATATAGTCATCAATCTCTCTAGCGAACCTCGGCAGAAGCTACTTTGCTCCGGAGCCAGCGTCTCGGACTAGGCCGAGGAGAACCCTTCCCACGTCGTTAACGCTGCCTTTTTCGCACCAACTGCGGGTCGTCCCCGGAACCGGTGCGAAGCCACCCGGAGGCGTGGGAGCTAGTTTTGGTAGGAAGGCAAAAGGTCCACAACCACGCAGCGTTTCTGTATGTGTTGTCTGACTTGGGGCTGGGCTGGTCGCGTCTCTCTGCGGACAGGTTTCGCGGGTTCGCCCGCACTGTCTCAAAGGCCCCCGGCTCGATTGGAAACGCGTCTGATCCGGGCGATACAAAACAACCGGCTTGAACATCTCGCGGTTGGGAACATGGCAGGTTCCTTAGAAAATTTCTATTTTACATTTAGGATATATATTTCTCTTATTAAAAAAAGAAAAGAAGGAAAGATAAAAAAAAAAATAAGAAAATTGACAATAGGGAGCAACTGGTGGGGGATTTCTGTCCGGGTGGGATGCCGTTGGATTCTCTTGCATAGGATAGTACTGGATAGCTTGGATTCAAGCCAGACATTGCTTCCATTTGTTTCTTTGCGAGATTCCTTTCTGTGATCTGTTCGAATTGGTGATGTAGCTGGCCTACTAATTTGATTGCAGTTTTAGGAACTGAAAGTAAGACTTATATACCATATCATGGAGAATAACGGTCTCATTTATCATGATATGTTTGTCGTTAACACTCCTCATCAAACTCAAACATGACAGATTGACTAGGCCCATATAGCACGACATGATTTACTAAGGCCACACGGCAGTGAGATGCTCCACAACGAAAGTAGCTGACAGAGGTTGACAGAGGTTATAGCTTCAACTAATGAGCAACAGACGTAATGGGAACAACAGTTAATATGATCATATCACCAACGCTGAATATCATAGAAGACGACGCCTAGTCAAATTCTTGTAAAATTCTGTTTGTGATATTGCTAAGTGCATATTCCTAACAATAATACATCACCAAGCGGACACCGGTTGCCTTGTTTCCCATCCGTCTCAACATTACAGGCGGCTATCTTTACACCCTACAGTTTAACTGGTGAGCACTCTACCAGCAATTGGTATCTTGAACCCCAATTCTCCCATTTATCGCCAAGTGTGCGTGCATGCGTGCGTGTAGTACCCGATATTCCGTCGGGATTCAATTCCCCGTCAATACACTCTGGCAATCATTCAATCCGTGTGCTTTCTTAATTAGAGATAGGTAGAATAATTAGATAGGTAGGCATCTATGGTAGGCGAGCTTATTTCGTGGGGCTTTGCTGGCCGCGTGTGAAGCTATAGTTCGGGGATTGTCAGCCCAGGCTACCCCCTCTGACACGAAGGAGTAGAACGGATGTGAGGGAACTCACTTGTGCCACATCTGTCCGAAGAAACCTGCTTGGGGCTTCTGGTCATGGAGACTAGCACGTCGGGCTATGGAACTGGGGTCGCTGCCTCGCTTCTGGTTCATGAGGCCTTCGAAGGTTGGTCCGGAGCCCTGGGGTAGTCAGCGTTAGTAACGAGATACAATTGGGGAGAGCGGTCGTTTAAGGTAACATGGTATGAAGAACATAGAGAACATACTCGTCGGCGAGAGGGACCTGCCGGTGTAGGGTTGTCTGCCTTGCCGCTGTCCATATTGATGGTTTTATGGAGAGTGGATGACAAGGTGTAGTTGCTGATGTCGGCCAACTTGGTATTTGATACGGTATAGTTTCACACAGCAATATCCACGTAGGGGATGTGTGGGATGTCTGGGTGGTGATGAGAGGGATTGGTATAATAGGGAAACGAGATAGAGGTGGGAAGAGGAGGGATTGATCCCTTTTATGTATGCATGCTCACAGTGTACCGAACAGACCACACGACCTTTTATGTATAATCGAACAACGATAGACACCAACAAGGATGAGCAATAGCTACCCTACCTGCCTATCGAGACTACTACGCAAGATAATAGATGCAAGTATGTACACACACTAAGCTACTACCTAGGTTACATCCCTTCCATTGTCTAGGCCAGGTTGATTGATCAGCGAGGGGGAGCCACCCAGCGCTCGGGGATAGAGTCCCGGTGATGACTTCACCAATGAGCTAAGACATCGGGTCGACTATCAGACTATCCTACCGTTAGTCCAATTCCTCGCAGTCTAGATCGTACGACCGAGGAGGTACAGTACATCAACACGACGAGCAGCAAAGTGGGAGCAGCAGTATTCGGATTATGAGGTAACATGTACTTATACATGCTCGTCCAGATAGATCAACGTCATAGACGAGGTATAGCTCCATCCTTGCCAGATAGAGGAGCGATGTACATACCAAACGGCCACTCTTTTACCCCGCAAAGGAATAAGAACAAGGAGATCTCGGAAGCCAGGAAGCTCATATCAGTAAGATCGAATCAGAGCATTTCGATTGTCACTCCCCGCTACCTTGATCGGTGGCTTGAGGATGACACCACCTACTTTATTGCCTGGGGAGACTAAACATACATATGTAAGTCCCGTTGGCGATGCAGGAGAAACATGAGCTAGTAGGGTTGACTCGTCGAATCGAATAATATGACCAAATCTAAAGTCTACGGAGATATCGTACGGGAAACGATACGAAAACGTTAATAAAGCCTAATCCAGACTAGGCATCTCAGTCCATCTGGAATGGTATGTAGTGGCGGAACATACGTTGATACATGTGAGGTAGGTATGTATTGCAAGAGAAAGAACATACATATGTACATAGTAGCTGTAGGAGGTCCGAAGAGGTAGCGCAGATCCATGATGCAACAGGGTCCAGACCTCCAGTGGACGCGGCAATTGGTAATACGGTCCCACTTTCCCCAGAAAATCCATGTCAACGGTGTTCGCACTTAGAAGACGCCGACTCGCTGCAAGTGACTAGACACGATTATTGCAGATGTAACCGTTTAGTGTCATCGTACTATTATATATGCCTAACCTAGAAGGATTATAAACTCCCTCTCCCGTTCCAGACTTAACCGCGTCGGCTGAACCACTGCACACGTACATACCTAGCTACAAGAACCAATAGTTTAGTGCTCCGAACCAGAAATTCACACAGTCCTATACTGAGTACAACTACAAAATCTCTTAAGAAAGGTTAGCTATGGATACGTATAATATATATAATCAAGAGCATGCTTATAGCCTCTTCAGTTCTCCAAGGTGATAGAACGGAAAAGTTTCGTCATCAAGAACTCCGACATTAATGCAGAAGATTGTCATCCGCGAGGCTTGCATTGAAGTATAGAGAGAAACCACTAACCTTCAAGGAATAATACGCCTTCGAAAATATGTAAAGCTTAAGTTACCTATCGCGGCCATCGGGTTAGCGACATCAACCAAGACGTACAACGAGTGAAGTGTAATCAAGTAAAAGTTATCAGTCTAGCCGTGTTAGCTTTGGTTATAATTGCCAATATCGATATGGGCGCATACCTCATTAAATCAGAATTTTTTGTAATGTTCATTTCCAAGCCCGTTGGACAGGATCAAACAGTGTGAATAATGATCATCATTTTACGAGGAGAATAACTAGAAGACAGAGATGATAATACCTGTCGAGACATATTAGCTACGTTCCAAAACCTCTGACGACGATACGCTCGAGTCGACAAGACACAATCAGCTGACGAATTCTCAACAAGAATCCCCCGCGGTCCTTCCCCCACAAGGATTGTACGTCCTCGCTTTGAACGAGAGAAGGGGCGAGGGTTCATTTATGTCCGCCCGTTCGTTCAAGATATCCTCATGTGAATGGTATGGGGTTTGTAGTAGAATAAGTCGTACCTATTCGAGTAGACGAGTTAGCATTGTACGCGAAAATGCCATCTAATAACAAGCGGAATAGGTTATGAGGTCAGACAAGGCTGAAACTAAACAAAATCTACATGATGTATTCGGAATGAGGAATTCCCTAGGTTTGTTGATTTCTTCATCACCCCTCGGTGGAAACGGTATGGAAATATCTTGACTTTATAAGAAAAGAACGTACCTTTATTTATGATTTATGTATTGGAAAACCATGGAGGGAGCCACCCGGCTAATCAACAAGAACCTATCTGAGTTGAATTAGCATTCAATTGATCGCCATGATCGTACTGCAAATGCATCCCGATGGTATTTGCTCAGTGTAATTCTAGAGACTTAATCCCCATTGTGTTGTAAGATTTGGATTGTTCAATTTTTCCTTCTTCATAGCAAGGAGCATCGGGACGACGTAGTAAAAGCGGAACTAACCTGGTAATAACACAGCATAATTAAATAGCCGTTAAAAATAGGAGACTGAGATCCATAGCTCGGGTTTCATTCAAGTCACAGAAGCTCAAAAGCTTGAGCAAATGAGCAAAGATAGAAAGTTGTTTGGAAGGAAGAAAAAAAAATCGTGGAGGACGAGGTGGAAGAAAATAAAAATAAAAATTGCTTAGGTGGGGAACTCTAGACCCGCCTCGGAGATTTCCAAATCGAGACTTAGGTACCTGACTAATTTGTGGCAATCTACCTATGTATGCTACGCCACATCTGCTTATCTAAGGGTCCTTATCGGGTGTAAATAGCATCGTCACCGCCCGCCCTCCCTCTTCCCCTTCTTCCCCCTTCCTTCCCCAGACCAACCTATTTTCTCACTCGTCAGTTCGCCGCATAGCGACGAACTCCAAGTGGAAAACACGATGCTCGCCCCTCTCGGTGGAGGCGGCATATGGGCACCCGCCACGCTGCGGGTTGTCCGTACTGCCGCCCTCAACGCGGGCAAGATGATCCGGGCCAAGCTCGCAGCAGCAGCGGCTCGCCCGGCTAACAACGCCGCCCTCGAACCCGTCCTCGTACGCAACGCACCCAACCCGCGCCAGCCTATCCACCCCTCCGCATTTCTACGCCAGCAGAAGTCCCGACGATGGCACTCGACCACCACGACTACGTACAAGAACATCAACGCTGCGATCCGCCGCTTTATGAGCACTGGCCGGCTTGACGCCGCGCCCCGGGTCGACCGGTCCAAGTTCCTCAACACGCAGACCGGCCGCGCTGTTGCTCAGATCACAGGTCGTGCCCCCTTCGCTAGCGCCCTACGACCGAACCTTACCGGAGGTGCACTCCCTCGTACCGCCGGTGGATACGGTCTCGGGTCCGGACGTGTGGGCGGAGCTCGCTACTTCTCCCACACACCCGCGGCTCAGGCCCAGGTCGTCCAGAACGTTTCGGCTGCGGTCAGAGCATTCTGGATTTCCGGCCAGAAGGCACAGTTTGATGGGCTTACCGCCCGCGGCGAGAAGAAGTATCGCACGGTCTCAACTCTTCAAGACGAGACCACCCGCAAGATGGCGGCTGCGAAGCACAACATTCCAGGCTCTTTCATCGACTTCAACCTGAGCCCTACCGTTACTGCTCTCAGCCCCCTCGCTGCTGCGTTCCCCTACCCCTCCGCCGGTTTCAAGTTCCCCGCTCTCGACACCACAACTCTTAACACCGACGGCTTCCTCGACGTTCTGTCGGTCGACTTCGCCCGCGCTCTGAAGGACCTTACCTCGACCTTGGCAGATATTAAGAAGCTCTCCTCGCTAGGGGACCTTCCGATACAGCTCGAGAAAGGCCATACACTGCGGGTCCGCTTCCCAGGCGTCGACGCCGAGACCGTAGAGTCCTTGTGTGATGACCTCGGGTTGACAAGGGGCGTCGTAAGGGAAGACTCAGACTTCGCGGCTGAAACAGGTGTCTCGATGGCACTGAAGTTCCCTTTCGCCCCCGGTGCCAATAGCAACGACACAAGAACACTCACTTCGCCCGGCCGCTCGTTAAGGTCTCAAGGTAGCTTCTTCCCCGCAGAACAGGGGCTCTTCGAAGAGGACTTCAGCGAGATGGAAGACAACCCTTGGATGTCGCTACCGGACGACCTGGAAGGGTACGAGAGTATGTCGCCACCGATCAGTTCGGGTGAGCACTGTTCGGAAGACTTCGAGGGCCTCGAGGGTATCTACCGATTCTTAGAGGAGTGCGACGATGCTCATGGAAGATTCTGAGCAGGTTGCTGATACATACATGATGAATTACGAAGGACACACGTTTTCTTGGGAGGATTAAATTGAAGTAAATGGGATAAGGATGCTTTTTTGACGTACCTAGGAACCACACTCATTGTATACATATCGCGGAACGATATACTAGGTAGTCTAGTCTTTGGGACTGCTGGTCCCATGTGAGAATTTTCATATGTCGCTACTATACCAAATATACTTAAACGAACATCAATATAAACACAAATGAGGAAATGAATGAGGAAATGGGTATCTGAAATTGGACAACTACCTAGGAATAGTTAGAGCGTGAAGCTTATATATAGAGAACACGAACTGTCTTCGAGACTCACATATCTACTATCCTCCCTTCAAGATAGGTAAACGTGCCAGCGTATTTTAAAAGCCAAACCATCCATCATCCTACGCATCAAACCTCGTCTTCCTCTTCCCCGTGCTCGCCTTCGACACGCCCCCTCCCTGCGAAGCACTCTGCAGCACACCTCCTTGTCCATCCCCGGCCGCCGCCACAAAATCCACCGGCGCGCCCTTGGTCCTAGCCCTAGCCTTCTCGGCCTCGCTCTGGCTCAGCCTAAGCTGCTCGCGGTACGCGCCGCGCGGGAACGCCGCGGGGTCCCAGATGTGGGCGGGCAGGGTGGTGCGGTACTGGTCGGCGGGGGCGGCGAGGTCGACGAAGGACAGCAGCTTGTCGGTGAGGGCGGGGTTGCGCAGGGACGGGTTCTGGGCGACGCGCGAGTTGAAGTGCACGCCCTGGCGCTTGAGCTCGAGGAACCGCTCGAACTTGGCGCTGGTGCCCGGGGGCGGCGAGCCCGGGGGCGACGGCGGGATGGCTGTGTTGGGGACGGCGGGCAGCGTTAGGTCCCGCAGGAGCGCGCGGGTTGCTGTGTACGGCGAGCCTGGGGGTAATAGGCCTAGGCCGGGGCCGGGGCTGCTGTCCGAGTCGTCTTCTAGGGGTGCTTCTTCTAGCGGAGGGAAGCTGGGACCGGCGGCTGCTGGGCCTATCTGTGGTCCGATGATGGCTGCTGCTTGCTCATCTGGTTTTTGCGAGGCAGCACTGGGTTCTGCCGGGACGTCTGTTCACTTGTCAGAAAAGGGATGATATACTCAACGTAAGATAGATACTTACCTGGCTTTGTATCCGGACTGATAGTAGTATCTTGAGTTTGTTTCAGCGGCTGGCCTCGGCATAATCAGTGCTGTCCAATGCCTACCGGTGCGATTGTATATATCATCTCGTGTTTTCATTCATACCTTTGGATCTGGCGGCTGCTGCTGCACGACTTCTTCATCGTCGCTACTTTCGTAGCCCACGAGGCCTGCCATTTTGAGGCTAGGGATCCCGGTCTGACTAGTGATTTGGTTGAAATTTCAAGTCGAGGATATTACTTTGATATGAAGTTTAGGTACCTAAAGTTATTAAATAATCATCTAAAGAACAAACTGAAAAAATGTCACATGTAGTGAGTTTCTCATCGCAAGTTCATCGCAAGTTAACGTCGGTACGTATCCTAAATTCGAAGTGGGTCTCAATACAGTATGGATTAGACAGTGCTGGCAGCTGACGAACAGCTGATGACTTCCATTACATCTAAAGTAAAGTACCTAAGGTACGTACCTCAACAGCCTAGTCCGGAAGGCAGAACTGACGCGCAGCTCCAAGCTCCAGAGGCTCAACGTCCAAAAGACACTGGAGCTTCGTTGCATCCCATCAATATCAGCCTTACAACTTCATATTTCACAAGCGACAACTCCCTTTTTTTTTTTTGCCGCCACACTACCAACATACCCTTGAGGCCATTTCAGTCTCGACACCCAACTCAATTCAATATGGATCACCGACCGCAAGCTTGGGGCCGTGTAAGTAGTTGGTTGGTGTGTCCAGAGTCGAGAACCAGAGTTGACTAACAACCCGACTCTATACAGCCCAGAGACGACGTCTACGGCGCCTACGATGCCTCATACATGCAGACCAACGGTCCCAACCAGCACACCCAGTCGCCCGTCGTAACGGGAACATCGGTGGTGGCGATCAAGTTCAAGGACGGTGTGGTCATGGCAGCAGATAACTTGGGTACGCACATATCCTCCCACCTGTCTCTCTATCTAGCACTCTAGCACCCCCCCCACCAACACCGATCCAAACACCCACCGCTAACATACCCCCAGCTTCCTACGGCTCCCTAGCCCGCTTCACCGACGTAAAGCGCATCCGCACCTTCGCCGACACCTCCATCATCGGCTTCGGCGGCGACGTCTCCGACATGCAGTACCTCGACCGGCACCTAACCGAGCTCGGCATCGACGAGGCGTACCAGCAGACGGCCCACACGCTGAACGCCCGCAGCCTGCACAAGTACCTTTCCAAGCTTCTCTACCACCGGCGCTCCAAGTTCGACCCGCTGTGGAACCACCTGCTCGTCGCCGGTCTCGACGAGGAAGGCAAGCCCTTCCTCGCCGCCGCCGACCTCCTCGGCACCACCTTCTCGTCGCCCTCGCTCGCCACCGGCTTCGGCAGCATGCTCGCCCAGCCCATCATGCGGCGATACGTGCCGGACGAGGAATCTGTCGCCAACGTGACGCGCGAGCAGGCCGTCGACGTCATCCGGGAGTGCATGAAAGTGCTGTTCTACCGCGACGCTCGCTCCCACGACACGTACTCCCTCGCCGTCGTGACCAAGGACGGCATCGAGCTCACCGAGGGCGAGAAGCTCGAGAAGCAGAGCTGGGCCTTCGCCGACCGCATCAAGGGCTACGGCACCCAGACCGTATAACCCGCGCATCTTACCTACCTACTCGCCGCCTGCTCCTCGAAATCTGCGTCTACGTTTACGTCTACATATGCTAGTTATTGAGCGTGCTGCCCAGCTAGAATTGCCGTAACGCAGACGGAAGACTGGGGGGTTATAAGAGCACAAGGTTATCGCTCTCGTCGGTCAGCATTAGTAGCCAGGCGAGATACGATATCATCTATATCTATCTAAATGAGAGAACAATAAAGGAGATATACTAGCTTCTCCAGGGTTGCAATGCCTTCCGATCGATTAGAGAAGAAAGAGGATAACACGGTAGCAAGAAGATTCTGTATCATTAGAGCCAAGACACATGAACCTCGGCATTGCCTTGACGAGTAATTGCTTGCTATTTTACTACAAATCCATAAGTCATGGTGCGCCCCGAATTTCTACCTAGAAACATAACCATCGCTACCTAATTATGTGAATTAGAAAGTGTGGGTGCAAATGCTTCCCGCATCATGCCAACCGTTGGTTAGTACATCGTAGCTACATCATACCTCATAGGTCTTATCACGATACGCGGATTAACATCAAAATAATAGCCAGGTTGCATCTCAAAAATTAAGCCAGTAACATAGCTATATCATTATCGATTTTTCTTTATTCCTCTGTATCTTCGTCTAGGCCGATCTGGACGATATACATGGCTAATCGCCTATCTACCTCCTCTGCAGTACATTGTCCCACGTCAAGAGTAGGTGTGGGGGGCAATATGCATCATCGGGGAATACGGAAGATAGCAACTATCTTCTCTTCCGACCCCCCCTTACCAAATCACAATCCCACTACCATGTATATAAGACGAAGGACGCTCTCAAGGGCCCCGAATCCGACTGCCCACCATGATATCGTTTTGTAGTGAACTCCCGCATTGCCTCATAAACCGCCGGTAATCAGTCTAATCGTACAGACAGACGCTCAGGATTATTCAACGGTGACCGACTTGGCCAGATTTCGTGGGAAATCGACGTTAAGGCCTTCCATAACAGCCAGCCAGTAAGCGATAAGCTGGAGCGGGACGACGTTGAGGATACCTTGCAAGCAGTCGACAGTCTTAGGAACCTCAATCTTCTGCGCGGGACTCGCTTGGAATTCCTCGTCGCCAGGGTTGCAGATAACGATAGGCTGTCCGCCACGGGCAATAACTATACACTTGTTAGGATTGGCTCAGATTAGACTATCAAGATGGAAATTCTACGTACCTTGTTGGTAAGCATTTAGCGACTTCTTAAATAAGTCATCACGGGTCAAAATCATGATGATAGGGAGGTTCTCGTCAACCAGAGCCAGCACACCGTGCTTCAGCTCACCAGACATGACGGCTTCGCAATGAAGATAAGAAATTTCCTTAATCTTCAGAGCACCCTCGAGAGCGGTCGAGTACTGGCTGCCTCGTCCCAGCAGAAGCAGAGATTTCTGGTTCTTGAAAGTCTTGGAGCAGAGCTCCTTGATAGACTGGTCTAACTTCAAAATCTCCTTGATCTGTGTAGAGATGTTGGAGAGACCCTCGATGATCTCCTCGCGTCTCTTCTGCTTAGATGCTCGGTCTTCGCTAAGAGATAGGGCAAACATAACCATGGCAACGAATTGCGATGTGTAGGCCTTGGTGGAGGCTACACCGATCTCAGGGCCAGCGTTGACGTGAACACCGCAGTGTGTCAGGAGGGAAATAGAAGAGCCAACTACGTTGACAATACCAACAGTAAGAGCGCCACGCTCTAGACAGTATCGGAGGGCCATCAAAGAATCAGCTGTCTCACCGGACTGCGACACGAACACGCACGTGTCGTCACGGAAAACGGGCGCCTCTCTATCGAGGAAGTCGGAAGCCAATTCTACGGCAATCGGTATCTCGGCAAGCTCTTCAAAGATACCTCGGACAGCCATGCAAGAGTGATAACTTGTCCCGCAAGCAATGAAGATAATACGTCGGCATCGGCGGATAGTCGCGATGTATGATCTTAGACCACCAAGGGTGACGCTCTTGTGTTCGATGTCGAGACGACCTCTCATAGTGTTGACGACGGACTCGGGCTGTTCGAAGATTTCCTTTTGCATGAAGTGGTCGAATTTACCCTTCATGATCTCCTGAAGCTCAAGCTCCAGAGTCTGGATGCTACGAACATTCGAGCTGCCATCAGCCTTCTTGAGGCGGTGGATATTCAGCGAGCCCTCGTGAATGTGGGCAATGTCGTCATCCTCTAGATACATGACCTTCTTGGTGTGCTCGACGATAGCCGAAGGGTCAGATGAGAGGAAGAACTCAGCGGGCATGGGCAAGCCATCATCAGTCATGAAAGCTCGGGACTGCGAACGGTGGAGTAGGGACTTGTCGGGGGCGCCAAGTAGGGAGCTCGGAGCCAGGAAGTTATCAGTCTGCTTCTTCAAGGCAACATTCTGCGAGGCAGCCTCAGCGGGTAAGGCGCCATTTTCCTCGGAATATTCTACATCGACGAAGTCGACCTTCATGCGCTTTTGGGTCTTCACACCAATGACAAGGGGTGAACCCTTGCGAGCAGCAATAACCTCATGGGGGTAGTGGACTGACTTGATCAGCAAACCGTAGGCACCCTCGAGCTCGGTAATGACGGCCTTAGCAAGGTCGACAAAGTCAATGTGGGGATGTTGGTCGTATAGGTACTTCGTGAGCTTCGCAATGCACTCTGTGTCGGTCTCGGTCTCGAACTTAAAGCCCTTTGCGGAAAGGAGGGTCTTCAATTCCTTGTAATTAGTGATGATGCCATTGTGGACAACTGAAAATTCCCATGTGGGGTCAGATCTGGAAGTGTGACAGTCTGATTAGCAAAGGGACTCGTAAGCTCTGCCATGTAAATGTATTTACCGGTGGGGATGGCAGTTCAGCCGAGAGGGAGGACCGTGAGTAGCCCATCGAGTATGGGCGATACCGGCATGAGAGTCGAAGATCTTGGTGAGATCTGGTTTGGACTCCTCGATGAGCTGCTTGAGCTTAGCAACCTTGCCGACCTCCTTGAAAGCGAGCACCTCGTTCTTCTTGTCGCCGTCGACAGCTATACCAGCCGAGTCATATCCACGATACTCTAGACGGGAGAGACCTATTTGATAAAATGCCAGTTGTCAGCTTTCGGGTTTCCAATATTGGTTATGTACAGCGGATCGAGAGCGGGATGCGGCAGGTTATCGTGTCTCACCGTTCACCAATGTATCGAGGATAAACTTCCGGTCCTTCTCGACCAGGTAGTTAATATAGCCAAAAATTCCACTGTTATAAAAACTCGAATTAGCACCCCGAATTGATTCTAACAGATCGATCCTCCAAAGCTTCTCTTATCCCAACAACTTCATCCCAAAGTCCGAGTAACCATGACGGCATAATTCGAACCATGGATTGTGTTGACCGCCAGAATCACGGATAGGACAGATCCTCGTTCCGTGTATTAGGAGCGTGGAGCGTAGAGCGTAGAGAGTAGCAAAATAAAGGACTTTCGATCGAGTTCACATACCACATGTTGCCTTTAGCTTGTTGTTGCAGCAAAGTAAGAATATGGGTGGGTTATCTGGCCTGAATTACGGGATTCACTCTTCTCCCTACCTAGGTAGCTCTGGAGGGTTTTCCCAGGGTATCAACGATAAAACGAAAGTCAATAGCGGTGAGCTTGGTGAAAGCTTTTGGGGGGGCAGAATTAGGAAGAAGAAAGGATAGAGTTTCCAGAACTTGTTTGGGGGGGAAGGTCTGGGAGGGCCAAGCTGGGACTTTTAAAGGTAAAAGGGTTGTTACGGTATGGCTTTTTTTTTTCTACGAAAGAACACTGGTGCTGGCATAGGCTTTTAGACTTGGTTGTTACCACCAAGTGAGGCAGCATGTACGAGGACGTAACTACCATAGTACCTCTACTAGTGGGCGGCGATGCACCTTAGAGAAGGTAAGAGGGGCTGCCAGGGGGGTAAGGTGGAGGGGGGGTAGTGATGTACCTTGCTACGATCGAATCCATGCCTTACTCGTGCGATGTATAAGCCAAGTATCTTTGCGCTTGCTATCACTAATTAGCGTAACTTGTAAGGTACTTTTATAACCCTACATCCCACCACGACATCCACAACATGGACATGCAGCTGCAACGTACATATATGTACAATACATGAGGGAAGTATCATTGAATGATACCGCATAGGTCGTATGTGCCTACCGCCTTAGGTACCGCCTATTAGGTACTTAACCTACATGTAACGTGTAAGTTGGTACATGTATGCCACGCACATACCTAAGCTAACCTCATAGACGCTACAACTTGCAAAAGTTAAACGTCTTCTTTCTCATCCTCCCGTGTCTATTGGACTATCGTATCTTTTTCTTTTTTTCCTTTCAATATTGAACCAATCCAAACCCATCGACTTACTCGATCTGTCTTTATTTATATCTAAGCTACTTAAGTTGCTTAACGGTCAGTGGGCTCATGACCCTATGCCCCTCGTTTCCAGTCTCCGCCATTCTATTTGTTGCAAAGGCCGGAATCTAGCTATCAGCCCTTGTTTTAGAATATACATCTACCGCCTTGCCATATGTTCTTGTCTTTGTGCTGCTAACCTCCTCTCTTTTTAACGCAGCCAATCATTGTTATAAATTTATGCAGCGTGCCGAGCCTTTCATCATCTGGGCAACGGCCAGCTTGCTAATACGACGATAATAAAATAACTTTGTTGTGTTACAAAAATTACAGGAATTACCAGAATTACAAGAATTACAAGAATTACAAGAACTACACCCCGCCCATCTAAACTTCGCCTCCACTACCGGTTCACAGCTCGGAGAACGAAAAAGAATTATGTTGCACCTATTCTCAACGTCGCCAATGACTGTCTCTTCCATATTTTTTTTTGCTGTTGCCTCTTTTCGTAAAATAATATTGCGACCAGCTGTCTTATGAAAATCTTACTAAATACCGAGCAGACGCTATCAATGCCTGCGCCGCCACCCATTGAAGCGTCAACGCTATTCATTGGTGTCTTCGTGTTCAGTGAAGATCGATTTTCACGGTGCAGGGCTCGCCGTTTTCCGGATCATCATCCTGGCCGATGCCCCTTATTTTGGGGCTGTACCTGAGCTCTCTGCACTTGGGGCCATACAGGTGAGGCTTGGCCTAGGCCGGCCACAATGTTACCCTCTACCCCAAGCTTCCCTGTTAACTTGTTGGAAGTCCCGACATCAGAAACAATCCAGCGTCCGAACACGACCTCCTCTGACGACATGTTGAAAAGGGGTCGACGGCGCTCAATGGCAATGACGTGTCATATATACTTCGGCCTTCTCTGCAATATGGTTGTCACAGCAAATAAACAAATCATTATCAGCATTTTCCAGCATCCGGAATGAGTCCCGTATAGGTAATTCGAGTAAAAGTCGTCTCGAAGCCCGGTCAAATCCGCAAAGCATGTCGCCATCATCCTTGATAATACATACCCTATCTAACCCTATCTGAGCGGCCGAGCTCTAGTTTTTATTTAGTGGAACGAAATCGCCCAGCGTCAGTCATCCAGATCTTTGGTTTGGTTATTGATCCTTTCAAATAAGGCATTTGTTATGTATCTGACAAGCCAAGATCAGCATTCCTTTGTCATCAGCCTCCATACAAGAATGCCTTGTTATAGGATCATCTCAATTCCAATCGCAAGCCGTCGGTGAAGATGCCTGACAACAGATTTTCGGTAGTAATATTACAATTGCGCCGGTCTTTTCTTTATTTCCCCCCGTCATATGACCGAGTTGCCCAGCTTTTTGTTCGTGATAAAGGTCAGAATGCCAATATGGTAATTCAAGTCAGCTCTGCCCGCTACCAACACACCATAACTTGCGCCATCGCCTAGTTAGTGGCTCGCGCCTGGTAAGGTTAGCTACCTAAGAATAGCATCAACGCATAAACACGATCTACCCAATAGGGATCCCTGCAGGGTTCATACCTGGCCGCCGGTTACCAGTCATGTAGCATTGCCGGTAACCCACCATTCTGATGTCAGATTGACAGGGTAGAAGGGCTTGATGTATTTATCCCGAAGGCCTACAGTTCGTGGAAGTCCGAACGACACCTCTCCCAACACGGCACGTGGTAGTATTGCATCTTGTTTAATCTAGTTGGTTGGAGATCTCGCTATGCGCAACGTCATCTAATAAGTAGTATTTATCACGAAGTGATACAGCATATTTGTGATCAGGAGAGTTTAGTCGTAATTGTGACTTTACAATTCGCAAAACTACTTGCGTGCTCTATACGATTCATGCACCATCGCTCCAATAAGATGAATACATGACAGATAGAAAACACATTTAATATCTTCATTTACCCTTAGGACTGCTAGTAATAATCGGCTAGCCCAGATTAGAGACCTTGGGGTTGATTGCTCCGGCAGCAGCCTGAATGAGATACTGAAGCATATGTTCATGTCTTGAACTATCACGCTCTCTTACCAGTTTGGAGTTTGCCTAGTGTGAGCCTACGTATATGGTTCGCAAGCATGACTAGCATATTCCTTATGATCACAGCTAGCTACCTGATGGTAGCTCTCTACGCTAGGGAGAACCCGTCTCTATCTCTCAGTACACTTCATGACCCCGCAAGAAGCTAGGGATTGAGGCTTTTAATCAACAATACGGATTATCAACGTCAACCCAAGTGTTCAATTCCAATGCCGCAGGGTTAAGGTCATTAAAAGTAGAAAAGTCTCTACCAACATTAGTGACCGAGTTGGTAAGAAGCTCATATTATAGACGTGCATGCATCCCTAATACATGGGTCCGAGGCCGAGCTGGCCAATCCACGGAACGGTTGGTCCTACACATTAGGTACACATTCTCGTCCATGTACCTCCTCAGCCCTATGATCCTATCTGTCTAGGCGCCTATATTATAGCCAATGGGCAGCTTAACTCTATCAGCTCCTTAGAATATAGGCGCTTGTGGCTGGTTTCGATTGGGGGCCTTGTAAAAGTCCTACAAGCAATACTTAGGGCCTTTCCCCTACCATTCCGCTCACGGTATAGACAAGAAACTGACATGAGAGGCATATGCCAAGATTCTTCTGAGGTAGTCTTCGGGCTTGAATACAAACTTAGGACAGCGTAAAGTGGAGCTATATTACTTCAGGTTCGACCCCGGGCACCTATAATTCCAAGACGAGTAGACCCTATTACTAGAAATTTCCAACGATGAACCATCATAAATGAGGCTTGTTAAAGATGCAGAGACTCCACTTGCTGGTTGCTTGCTTCATGCGGACTATCATGTAGCTCTGCTCACCGCTTTTGTTAAGGTTACCTCGAGGTTAAACATCCAGCTCGTTTCAATCCCAACTCGACCTTTTCGTATAATAAGAGCTTTATAGACTTATAATCTATGACCCGATTCGCTCTTATAGGGCGGCGTTGTGCTTGTACTTCGTGGCATATATTTCGAAATATGACTAGAAAGCCATGAGGCTATTTACGTTCTAGTGTCCACGAGATTCCTAACCTCTTTCCATCCTAATAATATTAACGTAGGTATCAACAGCAAAGTAGCAAGGGAACAAGGACCGCTTAGGAGATAACCCCCCTTTTGCTCCAATTACTCATCTTTGCTACATGATACAGTATCTGGTTCTCTGTTCTAGCAAAGCCACACGCCTTGTTATAGCAGCACTGAATGAAAACCGGGTTGTAGAGATTACCTACCTAGGTAGGTACTCACGTTATCTGATCAAAACAAGCAAACGGATGTATCTATAGATAGCCGTACACATATAATTATGATCTTACCTACGGTATAACATCCCCCGTACTACAGGCGTCACATAAAAAAGACTTCCAAGTGTTTGCTGAGTTGCAATACACAACTGCCAACAGCAAGGTGTAACGAGGAATTCTACAACATTTCTCGATAATAACGCTTTGCATGAGAACGGTTATGACCGAATGAACCGATCCCGTGCTCCTTAGTTAGGTAAGGTATCTATAAGCCGTACTAGAAACTCGACGTGATCATAACTTCTACCACGAGAGCTTCTGTATCGTAACGATGTTACTACGGTCTCAGTCACTGACCAGGTAAAGAATCCAAATAAAATAGAGTCCCTGGGCGTCGCAGCAAACCGTTGGTAATTCTCTAAGAGTCCCCAAGGAAAAGCATCAGGCTACTTAAGTAGGCAGGCAAGGCAAGGCAAGGCAAGTAAGAAAAAAGGGGAAGGCAAGATAAACACAATAAGCTCATAAGATCGTGTCCTTGATCATATTATTAGCGAGGCCGCTGAGAGACCTCGCCTGCTTTCTACATATTTGATAATCGTACACTGAGGCTTAGTCTACTTATGCAGTTGGCTAAGGCTTTAGAAACCCGCCTATGCGGTAAAATAGACGGGAATAGCTACCAACTACTGATAATGCCTCGTGATGCGTTGCTCGGCCTGACTCCCTAACCCTCGCTAGAAACGGGTTATAGAGATACGTCCCGCTGGGTAGATACTCCACTCCAAATACTAGCTATACCTGCCACTCTTGTCTCATAGCTTCTGGTACTCTAACTTGCCTTCTAGCTTCTTCGCTTCCGCTAGCTTTCGGACCGCCTTGTTGAAGTCGTCTTGGTTGACGGCGTCTCGGTAGGCCTTGATCGCGAATAAACCGCTATGAAATTATTGTGTTAGCATCTTTTTTTTGTATAGTATAAAGCAGTAGGCTGGGGATGTAAAGCTTACGCCTCCGTGACCACGTTTCGCAGATCGGCCCCGTTCAGGCCATCGCTCATCTTGACTACGCTCTCGAAGTCAATCTCGCCTTCAGTGACGACGCTTTGGGCATGAATCTTGAGAATCTCAAGACGACCGACCTCGTTCGGTAGTGGGATCTCGATCTTTCGGTCGAGACGACCGGCACGCAGTAATGCGGGATCTAGGGTGTCGGGTCGGTTCGTGGCCATGATAATCTTGGTCTTGCCCAAGTAGTCGAAACCGTCTAACTGGTTGAGTAGCTCCATGAGCGTGCGCTGGATCTCTCGGTCTGCACTAGTACCTTCTGAGAACCGTCGACCGCCGATGGCATCGATCTCGTCCATGAATATGATGCACGGCTCGTGCTCCTTGGCATACCCGAACATTTCTCGTATAAGTCGCGCCGATTCGCCGATGTACTTGTCGACGATGGCTGAGGAAACGACTGTTCGTGTGGAATTCGAGTATTAGCCAAACCGGATAACTAGCATAGTCGTGCAGTGTAGAATACAAGTTCTGTACATACCTTTTAAGAAATTCGTCTCTAAACTGCTAGCTACAGCTCTTGCTAACAGCGTCTTTCCGGTACCCGGAGGTCCATATAGCAGCACGCCCTTGGGCGGCTTGATACCAACTCTTAAGAATAGCTCCGGGTTCTTCAGCGGCAACTCGATGACCTCACGTAACTCGCGGATCTGGTCGTTGAGACCACCGATACCAGCAAAAGAGACTTGGCCGGGGTCCTCCAGTGACATGTTGTAGACGAGGGGATCAACTTCTCGAGGTAGCATTCGCATGATTGTTAGCGTCGTCATATCGAGCGCTACACGGGTTCCCTGCTTCAGCTTGGCCTTGTCGACTTTCGATCTGCATCCGACGACATATCGGGGACCTGAAGAGGCCTTTACGATAACTACAGGAACAAGCTGAAGTTAGTATATATTTCTAACTGAAGTTTTGGGGGGTTGGGTTGGGTTGGTGGCGGTAGCGACGTACATCTTTCCTCGTCCAGCTGCTTTAGGACTTCACCGATAATCTGCCCGACACTTTGCAGGGCCTTGATATTCTCTTCGGTCTGGTTGAACTCCTTTTCTAATCCCTTGATCTCCACGCGCAAGGCCTTGAGCTTCGATTCCCATTCTCGCGACTCGATGAGCTTGGCTCGGAGCGCTTGGAGCGCATGGTCCCGTTCTTGGTCCGAGGCCATGGTCTGTGGTTGATGATGATACGGGCTCGGAAGAGGATTAAATGGTAGTAACGAATAATGGACACCAAGTATCCGTTTAGAAGAAATGTAGGTCGCCGACGCGTTGAGAGTAAATGGCGTAGGTCGTACAGGGAATCGGGATGGGGTTTGCGGATGGAAAGTTAATTAGATGAAGCTCAAAGACGAGGCCGTTAGCCGTTGCTGGTAGCTGATGAAGCTTCCGTTTGCCTGGTCGGGCCTGCTAAACTTAGACCCACCGTAGCCCGAACTTTTGCCGCACTATGTACATACATGTACGTATGTACGTGATATGTGTACCTGAGTGGATGTATTACGTAATCTACATACACTCACATGTCTACCTACCTACATGTAGGTAGGTATACATTGATGTATTTGAATGTTTGAATGTTGATTAGCACAGGTTAGGTACCTATGTAGGTAACCTAGGTAATTAATAATACAATTTCATTTATAGAAGAGAATAATGATAATAATTATTACATGCTATGTACTACCCATCCTCTTAATATTAACAACAGTGAAGGTACAAAATGTGTCTATAATACATATAAACTATATACTAATGATGAAGGACTTAAGAGTAATTTCTTCCACTGCCTTTGAAAAGGCTAAAGTATTGTATATCTCAAAACTTAGCTAAAATTAGCTAAATAAGCTGATTATCTGCTATAGTCGAAGTTGATTAGAAATATAAAAATTGATCGTTCATGAACTTATCCTGCAATTTGAACCTCTCGACTAGGATCGAAATAATACAGCGCAGCCAAAACTATGCTCCTGGGGTATATGGTGTAAATCGTGATGCAGCAGCGTCCTTGTTACCTCTATATGTAGCATGGTTACCAGCAATTGAGCTGATACAGTGACTCTGCAAAGTTCCGTCTCCGGAACTTTCTGTGTAGAACGTCATAAACGTGAGCTCGTAAAAAAGAAATAAAAAAGAAACACACATCCGTTATTGTGATTCCGCTTTTGCTTCGGCTTCAGCTTCAGCTTCTGCTTTCTCCCACTCGGTTGTGATCTCCTCTCGCACCGTCTGACACCATTTCCAGATTGCCGCCTCGAAGTCTACCCATACTTGGGGGTCGGTGTTGTAGACTACTCCCATGACATCCACCTTCAGCATCACTTCATATCGCAGCTCGGCCGCTTTAATCCAGTATCGCAAGTTCTCTGCGCACCGGTACGGCTTTTGGGTGTCCGTGTGGAAGGCCCCAATGGCGCCAAAGCGTCGCCGTGACTTCTTGACTGCTGTATTATGAAGCCTAACAAGCCTTAGGCCGTTCTGCAGACTGTCTAGGAATGGAGTTGGCAACTGTGTCGCCTCGCTAACTGGCGTCCACGGAGGCAACGGTTCAGCGTCGGTGTCGATCGAGCTTAAAAACGCAATCTCGCGCTCGATTTCTTTTCCCGACCAGTCACCCTTTATCCACGTCCAACTGGCTCTCTCAGCACGCTCGGCCTTCTCTATCTCTTCCTCTTTGCGAAGCATGGTGCGTATACTTTCGATCCATGAAGTCATCGTCTTGTGCTCTTCGCCACGAGGACCGCCGGCAAAACACCTAGTTGCCATGTGTTTTAATACCTCCATGACAGAAAGCAGCTCCGAGCGTATCTCCTTTTCGGACTTGATGGAGTCCAAACGGTCTGGGTGCTCGTGCGCCGTGTAGTAGATCTTTGCAGCACGGATAGCTAGTGTCATCACGTCGAGCAATTGTACTCCTTGGACTTCGTACATTGTTTGCGTTGGCTTGGCCTGCCCTGGAGATCGATTTGATGAATTTATCGGCACCGCCCCTACAAGCGTTTTCGAGGCAGCGTCTAGCGCCTTGGTAAGGTCTGCTTTCATCTCCTCAACCGTGGGAGGTTTGGGAATATGTTTCTCCCGATGATTATAGGTGCTCGTAGTCGGTGGTAAGACATCCATATCTGGATCTTCGAAATCATCCCAATAGAATCCCACTTGATCTTCACTAGGTGACTCAACCGTGAGACCATTACCAAAACTCTGAGCACCAAGGTCTGGGCTGCTGCCCATCGAGGCATAAGAAGAGTCTGCATCTGAGCCAGAGGCTTTCTGGTTCAGCACGGCAGAGGGATCCAACAGTGACAGGTCCAAGGTGGCTCTCGGATGTCTTTTTCTTGCTAGCTGTCCTCCTTTTCCATCCAACAGGCCTGTCCTTGCGAAGTAATACTGGAGATGAGATATACTTCCCAAACTCAGAACACTCTCTCGATGCCTTGCACTAGTAGCAAAGTCTGTCCTTTGCGGTTTGGTATAACCACGTCTTTTTAGAGGTTTTTCTAGGCTTATTGTAGACAACCGCGATGAGGCGTAGCTTGAAGAAGACAGCCTAGACGTATCACTAATCAGTGAATCTCGATACGAACCGTCAGCGCTCGAGGCACGAGAGGCGGATGATGTGGTCGAAAGACAGCGAGCCGAGTCTGCCCTGTTAGAACCCATGGCTGGACGAGGGGCTCTCTCGGGTGAGGGAGAGTCGCGGCGAAAGGTTGGTCGCTCATCTTGGTTAGTTGCCATGTTTGATGCCCTTGAAATATGGGGTTTTAGTAATCTGGCCGGGGAAGATGGCGGTTTAAATTTAGTAGCTGCGGTGTTGATCGAATCGCGGAGGAGGTTTCGATATCAGAATGGAAAGGCGAAAAAACGAAAGGCGGAGAGCGCAGGGCCAAATGAGCGTGGGCCAAGACTGTTCAACAGCTTCGGGTTGGATACTCCTAGGTAGTTATAGTTTATGAAGAGAGCGTTGCCTGATATTCGAATGAGCTTGTGCATCCACGAGAGATATGAAGAATGTAAATGATGTAAATGATACGAAACGAGGGTCGATGTCAAGTCATGTGTTGGGGAATAAAGAATAAACAATTACACATGTGGCAGTTTCCCGTTTCCCCCATGAGAATCAATTAAGGCAATTAAGGCAATTAAGGAATATCTTACCTTATCTACTTCGTGCCTAGCGCTACCCAGTTATTCAGCACATCCCATAAGGAAGTGGGACTTCGGGGAAGGAACCAGGGATCATATATATGTAGAAGATTACATACACTATGTACAATCTTTTTTTTTTTAGTAAGGTGGTTATTCTATTCGCGTCGAGCCGGTCCTCGGTCAGTGGAGACGCGTAAAACGAAACGGGATAGCCGTCTTTGCCCCTTTTTTATGCTCTTATTAGTGCACCCTATCATCTCTTATTACCCAACATTGCAACTTCATAAATGAGAATCCTTTCACATTCAGATTCTTTATGTGTCTTCACCTCAACTAAATTAGTTGCATCCATAAGGGTGGCGATTGTTCAACATAATAATGACTTTGTACATAGCTACTTTGGTATTGTGTATGGCATAGTTGTACGTATTGTAAGCCACTGTGTGTGTGATCGAAGTCGGTGCGTTCGTCTGGCTGGGCAGTAAGATTTAATTACATTGTTGAGTACGAAAGCCTGTCTGACATTACGGATCCCCCTTTTCTCCTTTAATTACCGTGGTTTTTTTTTTCTTTTTCATCGAGATGCCTGACAAGTCGTGTAATTGTGTCTAATGCTTTCTTTCTACATCAGCAACATTCTATTGCTCAATTACCCCGCGGATAGCGCGAATAGCGTATAGACAACTGTCAGTCCTGCAGCAAGGTAATGCATAATGCGTGTGATAGCGTTTCTAGAAGCCGGGGGATACTCTATCTTCTATGTACATAGTATGTAACGACCAAACTTACCCCTAGGCAAGTTAATTATATCTACTTGATAATCAGTATGATGACGTAAAGCCTACCTAGGATATGTAGCTTAGGTACCCAGTACCATACGGTCTATGAAAAGGTACCTAAACGAATAATTAACTCTACCTCATATCTTAGATATTGTTGGCATAAACTTCATCCATCATAAACTTACTATCAGGTACTCTAAAACTTGTGAATACATTCAATTCACATCCTCATTTCGATGAATTCTGCAACGTTGTAATGTTCATTTTACATCTTCCCCCGATCCTAGTAAAGCAGTAAAGCTGGCCTGGAATAAGATATGCTGGGTAACCTGGTCCTTGCGTCTTCTTAAACCATGTGGCATGCTTGGGGGTTTGCGTGCACGAGACACATCTAGGTATTATTTTAACAGGTTATTTTAATATTTGCTGGCATAATGGTTACAAGGGACGGGCAATGTGATCTTTAACCTAATACTATGTAGCAAGGCGACATGAAGTATGGGTTCAACGCTAAATGAGGAAAGCATTGCGATAATATGCTGAATAGGTTCGTCACTGTAAAGCGGGAAAGTTGTTGATAGTCTGGATATGTAGGTAGTTTAGATGGTTAGTGTCACGATCGCAAAGGGAACCTTGTCTCTATTATCTCCACACGGGTTTCTCGTTATTACCACCTCACCACATTTATACGTCCAGAGGTAGGTATTGTTTTCTGCCAGCTATGCCGACTGGCTGACGGGCTGCTGGGCTGCTGGGGCATTCTCGGAGCAAACAGGTAGAGTTGCGGAAGAATGAGATTACCAGAGAGAAGGAAAAGTTTCAAGTTGCCTTGCCGACTATTAATAAAACAAAACGAAGCCTTACATAGAAGACGAAGTTACTTTGCTGCTTTATTTTCATCTTCTACCTTTTATCATCTTCGTCTCCCTCTTTTAGTGATTCCCTATGTGTTATATTTATTTATATTGTATTTTGTATTAGTATCATATGCATCATATGCACGCCAACATCCAGGTGACTGGTTTATGGCAGATGCATGAATCATTGCTTTTTTATTCATTCTGACCGAGTGCAACGGTGCGAGACAGCTAAGGTGGCTTGTTGGGCATTGACACCTCTTAACTTAACGCAGACGAAAACTTTGTCATCTTTACCTTCGTTTTCAAGATTACCCAAGACTACCACGCGACCTAGCGACCTAGCGACCTAGCGACCTAAAGGCCCTTACGTTGACTTATAATTAAACATTCGCGTACATGTAGCTATTCGTTCCACACCTTCCGACCTGCAGCTCCGATACGAATAACATAAAATAAAAATCAACAACGCCAAACTAGCGTCGTATCTTCTATCAAAGCGACCAAGGTGATTGGCCTCTCTCGACCCGGGTAGAATCATCGAAGACTTTTCGATCGCTTCGGATAGGCTTTGAGGACGGCCGTT